ATTCTTTCTTCTGTAAAGTTAATCGAGGCTATTGTTTGTAACATCAGCTTCGTCTGATGTTTCAAATGTTTTATTAGATCCTTCTGATTTTCGTCCAAGGAATCTATGTCCCTGTATACTTCATCATTTACCCCAAATACTGACGTGAGGACTGTTCCTAGAAGACCCTTTTTGCGGCCTTCCTATAACTCCCAGTCTAATGCTCGACTTATCATTTTTGCTCTTTCTTGTTCCTCTTTTAGTTGGCTCGATAGTGAATCACAATTTATTATATTGCTTGTCTTACACATATCCTCCAGCGTTTTTACCATTGAATCTATCGTTTGTTCACAATCTAAAAAAATTTTCTTTTCTAGATAAGTTTTTATTCTAAATACCCTCGATCTATGTATACATCGCTTAGATGCTCTAAATCTAATTCAGGGCATTGGGTATAAATTTTGTACAAATCTGCATTTGATGGCTTCAAAAATACTAAAAAATGATGCAAAACATAAATTTGCTCCACATTCTACGTGCTCTATTTGTCTTTCGTGAGGTGGGCTCTCGTACTATTGGTATTAACTTGTGTATAGGACATGGACGTATAATACGTCCATGATATAGGACGAGTAGTTACTTTTCCGTTAGCCTTCTGAATTGTTGCGAACCTTGTTAAACCTTCAGCTCCAGGATGTGTTTCGGTTATCTTCGGTAGTGGCCATTTTCTCGGCTAGGTGTCACCCTCCTTTATTATCACCACTTTTTCTTTTTTTTAAATGCAATCTCTTAAATGCAGCTATAAATGCATCCGTTGTCATATCGCTTACTATTTCGAGATGTACAGCTTTTGTGGCTAGGCATACAAATACTGCTATATATCTTTTATAGCTCTTGTACCCTCTTCCTTTGGTTGCTCTTATTTTGATTGGTCCGGTGTAGTCTATACCAGTATTTTCAAATAGATGAGCTTGGTTTACCTTCGCTCTTGGTAAACTTCCCATTAATTGTTGAGCCGTTTCGGCCTTGTATCTTTTACATTTGATACAAGTGTTTATTTCTTCTCGCACTACTCTTTTTGTGTGCTTGATCCAAAATCTTTTCTAGTAGTAGTGCAGAGTTTGTTGTAGGCCTCCATGCAACGTTTTTGTATGACAATGTTGTATTATTAGTTTACTTAATTTGCTTTTGTGAGGTATTATTAAGGGATGTTTTTCATCATGTGTTAACTCTGCTGTTTACTTCTCCCGTTAAGTGGTTTTCCACTCTTTAGCGTTTTTATCTCTTCTGCATAATATAATTCTTGAGTATTATTTATTACTCTTTGTAAGGTATTTTCTAATTCTTGAGGGGTGGGTTGTTCATGTTCTACCTCTCTTTTTTGCAATTTGTCTGCAAATCTAATGCAGTGAGTTAGTACTCGTTGCATTCTATTCAAATTTGAGAATCTTTCGCAGATGTCACTAATCTTGACGGTTGTGTTAGCTATTATTTCTAAGTATTCTCTTTTTCTCTTCCTCAGTAATGACATAGGGAATGAAAATTTGCGAAATCAAATCAACCAAGAAAATAAAATGCAAATAAGGTGAAGAAAATGAAGATGTCTGGACTATACACTCCATAGATTTTGCCAGGAAAGCGCTGGATTGAAATCTTCAGGGCCGACGAAAAGTAGTCATACCTAAGAACACTTGAAAAATGACAGTACTGGACGTAGGAAGAGAAACGGGGAAATTCTAGCTTGAAATCAACGCATTAGTGAGCAGTAGAGTTCGCTGGAAGTACTTCATAAAGGCCCTATGTTCCTCTTAAGAATTTCAAAACTAGTGTGAAAGTAACCCGATCAGATAGGCAAAACGGCTTGTTATATGTATACATTTATTTAGTCGTTTATTGTATTTATTATTAACTTTATGAAACTTCAGTTCAATGTGAAATTTTTGGCGATATGCGATAGATCTATATTTTACTTATTTTGCCGTGAAACATGAAACTAGTTGGAATTTTACAGAATTTTCAAACAAAAATGTGAGTACAATAATTTTACGCTAGGTTAGTGATTTTCAAATATGGTAGGAAAGCTCAGTGAATCTTTAAATGTGCACATTAAATGTATACCACGAGCTCTTAATATTTTATTTTTATGATAAATTTCATTACTTTTCAAATTTATTGGATAGTTTCTAAAATATAAAAATTATGGCTAACGGGGCGAATGCTCAATGTGGAATTTAATATTTTTAAGCTTTTTTATGTCAGTTTCACTGCTTGCAGAAGCTTAATTGAATAATTTCCAATTAATACACATTCTACTTTACATTTCATGTTCTGCATGCATTAATGGATCAACAAATACTGACATTTCAATCAGTTGATTCAGTGGCGTTCTCCCTAACAGTGATCTGATCTGTAATTATTTCTAGACACTTTAGAATTATGTGGTTGTATTTTTTGTGTTTTGTACAAAGTTATTTGATTAGAACTGACTAACCTAAAATACTTATATCTAAAACTCTTACAGAGGAGGTAGTTAGCTGTTTTGAGTATTCTTCACATACGATTACCAATCAGTGCGATATTACTGTGTTATCAGATTACACTATCATCGGAGTTCTCTTACTGAATTAAAATTACTTCTTTCTTTTTAGTCTTATTTTAATCGGTAAATATTATCAACCTTGCTTCTTCTTGTTAAACGGTTATATATATTTTTTTTTTGAACCTATTCTCTATCCTTCCATTGTTGGATATAGGTCTCCCCCAGTTCTCTCCATCTTTCCCTATCTTGAGCTGTTCTCTGCCATGTGGGACCTCCTTGTTTCCTGATGTCATCTTTCCACCTCATCTGTGGTCTGCCTCTTGATCTCTTTGCATTGTATGGACGCCACTTTCCGATGGCATTGTTCCATCGTCCGTCTTGGAGACGTTCATTGTGTCCAGCCCATTTCCATTTCAGTATTGCTGCTTGTTCTGTCGCGTCTACTGTCTTTGTTCTGGTTCTGATCCACTGGTTACGTTTTCTATCTCTAAGTGATACATCCAACATTTGTCTCTCCATCGCTCTTTGTGCCTTCCTTATCCTATCCAAATTGGCCTGTGTAAATGTCCATGTCTGTGCTCCGTAGGTGAGCACCGGTATGATACAGGAGTTATATACCTTGCTTCGTAAGTATAGAGGGATTGTTTGATTTTTTAGAACGTAAGAAAGTTTGCCGAACGCTGCCCATCCCATTCTTACTCGTCTCGATATTTCGGCTGTTTGATTTTCTCTATTAGCTCTGATTGCTTGTCCTAGATAGATATACTCATTTACCTGTTCTATTTTTTCTGTTTTTATTTTTATTGCCTCTTGGTCTTCCGTGTTTGTCATTACTTTTGTTTTGTTGAAGTTAATTTTTAGGCCTTTTTGCAGTGATTTTTCATGAAGTTCATTCAGCATTAATTCCAGTTCTTGTCGTTCCGAGGAGATCAGGAGTATATCATCCGCATATCTAAGGTGATTTAGGTATTTTCCGTTAATACATATTCCTCTGTTTTCCCAATCTGTTGATTTTATTATGTCTTCGAGGGTCAAGGTAAACAGTTTAGGTGAAATTATATCGCCTTGTCGGACTCCTCGTTTAACTTTTATATTATCCGTTATTAATTTGTCGTCCAGAATTACGGTCATGGTTGCGTTTTGGTAAATATCATGTATCAATTGTCGGTATCTTTAATCTATTCTACTATTGACCAGAGCTTCTTCAACCGCCCAGTGTTCAATGCTGTCGAAAGCCTTTTCATAATCTACGAATGCTAAGTACAGCGGAAGGTTGTATTCATTGGTTTTCTCAATTAAGATTTTAAGCGTATGTAGATGATCGATTGTGCTGTATCCTTTTCTGAATCCGGCCTGTTCCACTGGTTGGTAGTTATCAAGTTTATAGGTTAGTCGGTTGTTTATTATTCTTGTGAAGGTTTTATATAGTTGTGACAAAAGGGAAATAGAACGGTAGTTGTTTAGGTCTGTTCGGTCTCCTTTCTTATGTATTAATATTGTGTTGGCATTTCTCCATTGTTTGGGTATTTTACCTTCAAACAGACATTTGTTGAACAGTATTTTTAGCATTTTTTTTATCGTGTCTCCTCCTTCTTTTAGCAGTTCCGCCAGTATTTTGTCCTCACCGGCCGCTTTATTTCTTTTCATGTCGTTTATGGATTTTTCGATTTCATCTTCAGTTATTTCTGGTAATACCTCTGAGCCAACATTTTGTATTTTCCTCGTGAGATTCTGTTTAGATGATAGTGGTGGGTCATTTTTAGAACTGTATAGGTCTGTGTAATATCTTTCTTACGGTTATATACCAATTAGAAATAACCGTTCTTCGATCTTCTAACCTAAAGCAATTGTTGCCACATATGACTAGATTGTGACAAAAAATTTATAATCATTTTCTTTAACACACTTCGAGAATGGATCACTTCTATTGGTTTTTCCCAATGACGTATAATATTATATAGACTAAGCAGTCCCCTATTCTCGCTATATAATCGGGTGTCCGAAAGATCTCCGCTCAAGGTTGAAGGTATGTTTACCAGAACAGCGGCGTGCTCATTTATATGTTAATGACAATAATTATTTTTTTAATTAAAATTAAATATTTATGATTTCTTTTTGTTCCCGTCTATAAGAGAAATAATTATTTTGATAAAATAGTATGGCATTTTACTAAAATAGTAAGTAAATAACTCTCAACAATTTAAAATAAAATTTGCTTGTCACATAAAATATGTAAACACACAAAATGGCGAAAATGTTTTCATACGTCCATGATGTTTTCAAACACAAGATCAACTTCGTGATGCTTCGTAAGAAATCATGAACTTCGTGCATCTTCGTATCAAAACAATAACAAAGGTATTTATGTTGTGGACACTTTTTAAAGCGTTCACCGGGTCTATATATTATACGTCATTGGTTTTTCCTCATCGTGAAACACCCACACAGCGGATTGGGTTAATATTGTATTTTTATATTTCAGTGGAAAGCACACGATGCTATTGTCCTATGCTTAGCGTGGAGTTCAGTTTCCGAGCTAATAGTGTCTGGTGGAGAAGATTGCAAGTATCGTGTATGGGATAGTCAAGGGCGGTTAATGTTTTCAAGTGGTTTTCATGGAAATCACATAACATCAGTGGCATGGTCGCCCGTTGGTGACCTATTTGCTGCCGGTACATATAATACTTTGAGGTTATGCGACTATTCAGGGGTAAGTACTTATACTTTTGAAAATGCTTTTATAAATTATATACACAAGTTCCCAACAGTTTATTTTAAAATAAATTAATTTTATCATTATATACATAACATTATTGTTAAAATCGTGTAAATTTTGTTTATATGGCGTGTCACTCACTATATGACGCACATTATATGCATCACACAGAATTTGGTATATTTGTTAATTCTAATTCATTATAGTGGTCCCGATCTTTAGACAAACCCAACACCGGCTGTATTTACAAGATGGCCTGGTCTGCAGACGGAACTCAACTTGCTGGTGCCTGCGCCAATGGCCAAGTGTTATTTGCCCACGTAGTGGAAAGAGAAGTCCACTACCAGAATTATACTGCTTTGGTCACTGAAAAGAAGCTTGTTACTGTTAAAAATATTTTGGATGACACAACAGAACAATTGGAATTACCTGAACGAGTTATACAGCTGGCGATGAGATATGAAAATTTGGTGCTTACTACTCCCACTCAGTGTTATATTTATAATACTAACAATTGGAATACTCCAGCGATTTTCGACTTAAAAGATGGATCAGTTATCTTATTGTTATTAGCAGAAAAGTACGTATTTGTTTATCTTTACTGTAACGCATTGAGGTTTATTTGATGTTCACCTTATTCGATTTTTAGGGTTAAATTTGATATAATGGAATGCTTTATATTTCCAGAATACATTTTATGATTACCTAATCGAATTAATGAATAGCCTAATCCGGCACTGGCCAAAATATTTATTACCCTGAATAGCTAAGCTGCTCTGAAATCTACAACTTATGTGTCCATAACAGCTTTTAAACAGTCCTTTAAGCAACTTTGTTGTGGGTGCCAAAGCATAATGGAATTGTTGGTTACGAGATATCTGCTAGTTTTTTTTTTAAGAATGATCTAATGATTTGATGTTCACCTTATTCGATTTTTAGCGTGAAATTTGATATTTTTTTGTGTGTGTTTTTGGCTTGGACAATTGTCATTCAGCCAGTCTCAATCAAGATAAGTTTATTAATGAAGTGTGTGTGTGTCTGTGTTTGTGTGTGTAGAGTAATTGTCTTGATACTTAGCAAAGTCGACGTCATTGTCTTTGCTAAGAGATGCTAATTGTATCCGAACGTCTGCGGTCCCTCCGGTGAGTACCGATCACACAAGGATAGAAATTATTTTCATTTATTAATTTTTTTAATAAACGAAAATTTCCACCCAGGTGGGATTCGAACTCACGACCTGTAGGTTTAAAGGCAGGCGCTCTTACCACTGAGCCACAGAGGGGGTTAAATTTGATATAATGGAATGCTTTATATTTCCAGAATACATTTTATGATTACCTAATCGAGTTAATGAATAGCTTAATCCGGCACTGGCCAAAATATTTATTACCCTGAATAGCTAAGCTGCTCTGAAATCTACAACTTATGTGTCCATAATAGCTTTTAAACAGTCCTTTAAGCAACTTTGTTGTGGGTGCCAAAGCATAAGGGAATTGTTGGTTACGAGATATCTGCTAGTTTTTTTTTAAGAATGATCTAATAGTGTTTTTATTAGACCAAAATTATTCTGCGGCCTACCAAAATGTCGCTTGGTGATAGATATCCGAAAAAGGGAAAAAGCAACTTGGTGTAGTTTAGTGAGAAATATCGCAGGCTAAGAGCAAGCAAAATGACAATTACAACTTTCTTATCGGTACGCAAAAATACTCTTACAGCTTCAAAAATTATATCTTACTTGACTTTACTTAAACTTAACACTCAGCGATTTGTTGTTCATACAGATTCAATGCATTTTCTCTGGGTCTTAAAACATAATTTCCTTTTTTTGTATTCGTAAGTTATCTGTTATAAACAATTAACAATTGGCACATATGTAAGGGTAACATACTGTTTCAGGTTTGAACATTGTAGTTATCACATCGACTTTGATACTCCTCTATTTCCTGACATTGCTCTGTTTTTTGTTTCTCTTTGACTTCTCTTATCTTTCTTCTGACGATGGTATGTATTCTCTTATATTCTTGGAGATTTTCTTCGATTTTTTAACTGATCTCTTGGAGATTTTCTTCAGGTGTTGTTATTTTATTTCTCTCACTGTTTTTTGTAGTTTGGTCAGACTTTCCTCTATAGTTCTCGCATTTCTGTTGTGATCTTTCAGTTTTCTAATATCAATATCTTCATCGACTTACTTGTAACGTTCTTCATTCTGACTTTGAAATTACCTACAACTGGTACATGATTAGAATTTATGTCTACCCCCGGGTATGATTTCTTTCAAGTAGTAATCAATCTGATTTCTACCCTTTCCACATAATCCTGTCGAAATTTCCAAGTGTACAATTTTCTTGAGTGTAGCTTCTTAAACCAGGTATTCATTATTACCAATCGATTTGCTTCCACAACAATATTCAATGTATCTTCGCGATCATTCCCGTTTCCTAGTCCAGATGGTCTACTGCGTTCTAAACCTCGATGGCCTGGAATCCATACCAGTGTTACATTGTTATGTTCTTCCCGTTTGTAGAGTTCTAGTAGTCATTCCTACACTAGTTACAGTCCACACTAGGGCTTCTAAGAATCCTTTGACATGATATACATTACTTTTAAAGAGCCAGGTTAACTTCTTCTTCTTCTCGTGCCACTCCTAGCGGAGATTGGAAATCATCATGGCTACTGCGACTTTGTTAGCAGCGCGCCTGAAAAGTTCAATCGAACTACACCCGAACCATTCACGTAGATTACGAAGCCACGATATTTTTCTTCTTCCCACACTTCTTTTGCCCTTAATTTTGCCCTGCATGATGTTTCTTAAAAGTTCGTACTTTTCACCTCTCACAATGTGCCCCAAGTATTCCATCTTTCTAGTTTTTATCTCATTTAGAATTTCGCATCTTTTGTCTAAAGTTTGGAGTACTTGCGTGTTAGTGACGCGGTCCATCCATGATATTCTCAGAATGCGCCTATAGCACCACATCTCGAAAGCTTCGATGTTTTTTATGGTCAACTGTTTCAGTGTCCAAGCCTCAACTCCATATAAAAGGGTAGAAAAGACATAACACCGCAGCATTCGTATTCGTAACTTTATATTGATATCACGATTGCAAAAGAGTTTGCGCATTCTATTATAGACTGATCTAGCGATTTCTATTCTACATCTAATCTCTTTTGTTTGATCAGTATCGTCTGTGATCCAAGCACCTAGATATTTATAACAGGGCACACGCTCAATCGTTGTATTGTCAAGATTAGCTCTGATGTTCTTTGATTTCGTGATTACCATAAATTTAGTTTTTTTCAAATTAATTTTCAAGCCGTAACTGTTACAGTATATATTGAAACTTTGAACGAGATGTTGTAGTTCTACTAGCGTTCTCGTTAGGAGAACTGTATCGTCAGCATACCTTATATTGTTGATCGTCTCACCATTTATTATCAGACCAAGATCTTCTTCCTCGAGTGCTTGTTCACAGATAGCTTCACTATACAGATTAAATAAAAGTGGCGATAAGATACATCCCTGTCGGACTCCTCGTCGGATTTGAATTTCTTCTGTTAGTCTGCCCTCAACCTTGACATTTGCTGTTTGATTCCAATATAGATTGCATATAATTCGAATATCTCGGCTGTCTATATTTTTCTTTATTAGAACTTGTCTTAGTGGTTCATGTTGTACTTTGTCAAAGGCCTTTTCGAAATTAATAAAGCAGGCGTAAATTTCTTGGTTCATGTCTAAGCATCTCTGTGAGAGAACGTTCATTGCAAACAGAGCCTCCCTTGTACCCAGCCCTTTTCTGAATCCCATCTGAGTGTTACTGATATCTACGTCTAATTTCCTATAGATCCTATTATGGATTATTTTTAAGAACAGTTTTAGAGCATGACTCATCAAAGCTATCGAACGATATTCGTTGCATTCCTTTGTATTTGCCTTTTTTGCAGTAGTATAAAGGTCGAACGGAGCCATTCCCTAGGTATTATTCCAGTTCTATATATTGTGTTAAATAGATCTAGGAGTATTTTAATAGATTCATCGTCCATAAGTTTGAGCAGTTCTACGGGAATTTCATCAGGACCGGGGGCCTTACCACTTTTTGCTTGTTAACAATAAACCTTAAATAATTTCTATATAAATAAAGAATTATGTTTCAGACACATGTTGGTGGTGGAAAAAACTACTGTTGGCATTTACAACTATCAAGGAAGGTTAATAGCGTCTCCGAGATGGCCAAACATGAGACCTGATCATTTGAAAAATGCACTCATAACATTGTCCTCCGATACATTAGCAGTTCGAGATTCAATTGATTCAAAAAGTTAGTATTATAACGTGTTTAACAGTAAAATGAACGGTTCTAATTTATATAAACTATTTATTTAAAGTTTGCAATACGATATCCTGGTATCAACCAACTTACCTATAAGAGTGCCGCATTTATATAACGAATACATCATTCTAGAATTATCTGGAGTAATCCACCTCTATTTTTACTTATATAAACGCCTCGTTCTGTGAGATGGTCGATACATCTATAAGGATTTCGAACACGCATTATGGTTCTAAGAGATGCAACCGTTATATAGGGTATGTCGGAATCAGTTTGTTCTTTACACTGCTCGCCTCTTAGATCTAAGTAACCCGATCAGCAATTCTATATGTAGTCCCAGGATGCAGCTCTCTCTCTCTCCAGCTCTGCATAAACATCTCAGGAAGAAATAACGGTCTACTGTCCTTGAAGGACAGTCATTCGTACACCGAATTTTTCGGAAGATTGCTTCAAGCATGCTTCTGATAATCTTGTAATCCAGATTCTCTAGTGCATGGTCTATCTTTGGTAAGGATAAATTCCTGATGTCATAATTGTACACAATTTTCTTTAATTTAGTTGAAGCCTGCCATATGTTTTCGTAGCTTTCCTGTCTATATAAGACTTCCTGGTAAGCATCTTCTGACCGCTTCTTCTTCTTTGATTGCCTCTTCTATCGGAGATTGGATATCATCATGGTGATACTAATTTTATTTACTGCTATTTTGAACAATTCGTTAGTGGTACAGCCAAACCACTCTCTTAAATTTCATCCAGGACATTCTTCTACGGCCTGGATTTCTGCGTCCTTGGATTTTTCCTTGCATTATATTTTGTAAGAATATGTAATTTTGTCCTCTCATCATTAGCAGTATTTTAATCGCAGTATTCTTCCAACTTTAAGCTGCTGACTTTCCAACTCGTCTAAGCAACCAAACTAATTATTGAATATGAACGAGATTTCTTTGGTCATCTCGAGTTCTTGGGCAACACAGTGGGCTAAAAAGACGTTTTCCGGAACACTAAAAAGATCCTGTTGAAGTTCTGGTGTGACGCCAAATTTAGCACTCTTTCTTTTTGTGTAATTTGACCTAAATTTCTTCAAGCTTGGTCGCCGGTCATTTTTGATCTCATGTTGAAAGGTCCGTACTTCTTAGGTTTCATTTGAGCTAGCAAAAGACGATTTATGTGAACAACTATTGGTTTACCTTTCAGTAACTTCCTAATTCGGTATATTACATTCTTTATTATCTTTTTAATTGTATACAGAACTTCCCATTATCTTTGCAGTTTCGGAGATAAGCCTCGATGACGTTGGAGATTATAAAGCCAAACAAGATCACCTCACCATCATCATCAATGGTGCTACAGCCCTATGAAAGAGCCTCGACCTTCCCAAGTCTCTTCCCAAATCTCTTTGATGTTCGGATAAAAGTTTAGACAGGTGTTTACCCATCATTCGGACTATCCTCTCGACCATTCTATCTGACTGGGAATGCAGGGGTTTTTTTCTGGCTTATTGATGCCAGAACAAAATGAATGCGTTCTCTAAGTGTTGACATACGTAGCAGAAACACTTACTTTAACCAAAGCCTCGGCTACCAAACTAAGAGTCGCCCAGAGAAGATTGAAGCGGTCGATGTTGAGAATAACTCTGCGAGCCAAAATAAATAACGAAGAGGTCAGGAGAAGAACCAAGGTGGCTGATGTCATCGGAAGAATATCCAGACTAAAATGGAGATAGGCAGGACATATAGCTATAATGACAGATGGACGATGGACAAAGAGGTTATTGGAATGGAGGTCAAAGGAAGACAAGAGAAGCGTCGTCGATCGACCACATATATACATGCACACATTTGTATTTATTTAATTTGATAAGACATTATTGTGACAAAGTAAAACAACTTAAATTTTAAAAATACTTATTTATTTCAGCTATTCATATAGTAGATCTATCAAATAATAGAACCTCGGCAGAATCTACCCCGATTCAACACTCCACGCCAATTATGCAGATATCACTGGATCAGCGGGGTGAAACATTGTCAAGAAATTTAGCAGTTCTAGATCGAACAAGAGATCTATTTTTGGTTAACGTACGATCACAAAACAAGAACTTTACCAAATTGGGTAAGTTTTTACAAAACGTTAAAAGCAAGTAAGATGTATAGATAAACATAAGTAATTTCCAGGACGAAAAATTGAATCTTTTCAATGGAATGCCACTGACAATATAATGGCAGCCATTCAGGATACAAAACTGGTTATTTGGTATTGTCCAACTGCTTGCTTTAATCCCAAGCTATTGAGGTTATGTTCTTTTTACAATGACTCCTCTGAATTGGGCAGCAGTCCTAGAATAAATGATTTTGTTGGAAATATTGTATCGGTGAGAAGAGCAGACGGATCTCTTATTAATGTCCCAACGTCTCCGTTTCCCAGTCTACTGCATAAGTAAGTTAGTGGACCAATTCAATAAAATTCTAATAACTTAATTAATTGTATCTCAATTTATCTAATCGGTACGTTGCTGAGGTTTTTTCACAATTTATAATATCCCACTCTTGTCTCACCACTTTTAATTATATATAAAGGTCGAAGGCGAATGAAGTCGAAATGATTACCATCATCGAACGGCTAAGCCGAATAAGTGAAGAATTCGGACTTCAAATCAACACCAGAAAAACAAAAATAATGATTGTAGACAGAGCAAATAATAATCTACCGCATATACGCCAAATAGGGATTTTCGAAGTAGTCGACAGATTTGTATACTTGGGCTCTCTGATAACCAACAATGGTGATTGTTCCTCAGAAATCAAACGTAGACTAGGAATGGCCCGAACCGCAACTGCTAAATTAATTAAAATATGGAAAGACCGAACAATAACAAGGAATACTAAGCTTAGGTTGGTCAATGCCCTTATTTTTCCCATTGCTACATATGCAGCTGAAACATGGACCCTTAAAAAAATCGATAGGAGTAAGATCGAAGCTTTCGAAATGTGGGTATATAGAAGAATTCTACGCGTGTCCTGGACAGAACATAGAACCAACCTGTCAATTCTGGAAGAGCTTCATATAAAAGACAGGCTACTAAAAAAAGTAAACCAAGCATACCTAACTTAGTTCGGCCACATAGCTAGAAGAACGGGCACCATGGAACTATTGGTAGTAGAAGGTAAGGTAGAAGGCCGAAGACCAAGAGGAAGATCTCCAATACGATGGGTGGACCAAATGAAGAGTTTGGTGGGAAAATCCCTACATGAAGCCGTCCATATGGCACAAGATCGCAGTCAATGGAGACAGCAGACTAATAATATTTAGGGTGTCACTACGCCCTGACAAGGGCTAAAGGATTAAGGAGGAGGGAAGACGAGGAGGGCCTCCATGACTGCCGTTGGTATGTCCTTTGTCTCGGAGTCACAGTAAGTCTTTTTTCGTTTGAGATTACATGTTTTTGATGCATCTTTGGCCATCATACCACTGATGCATATGTAATTATAGATTTTACTTATAATATGTTATAAATCCAATATAATATGTCTGGTTTTTAAACCACACAGTTTTCTATGAGTGCGTCTGACTACCATTAATATATTTACCGTTCTCTTGGTTACCTACTCGTTCTATCTGCTGATTCCAAGTAAGCCTTGAGTGTAATATTACCCCAAGATACATTACTTTACTCACCAGATTCAGATGTATACCATTTAGCTTTAGAGGACCCAGTACCCCAATACTGGACCCACCAGTAATGTTGCGCATATCACACAGGTCCTTACCATGCAGTCTGCCCATCTTGTTTCGTCCATTCCTTTTAGATAGTCCCTTCGTAGGAGATGTTTTCGAATGTACCCTCTATATCAAAAAATGCACCCAACTCTTGTTTTTCTAGAACATACACCACCCGCTGTACGAGATATTACAGTGCGTGATTTATCGGACTTTCAACCGATGTCGGCCTCAGAGACTTGACTTTTTCCTGTCCGGTTTTGAAAGGTTTGGATATAAAAACCACTACCCCAGTGCTAAGCTAGCCTGTAGTATTTTACATAATTTTTCTCTAGAAGCTAATTTCCCTTCTGTAGAAGTATTGGATTAATCCTAAGGGTTAATTTTCCACTTGATTTTATCCTGGTTCACCACTTCTTTTGCCATACGCCAATTTTCTCCAGAAACTTAAGTCAGGTTAAGGTTAAGGAATACTTATCTGGGGGTCTCTAGAGAGAACTTTTGAACAATGCTGTCTTCGCTATTTTCTTTTTGCTATTCTCAGTTTGTTATCACCTTCAGTTACAGCTTTACGTTAATGGTCCCACTCGCCAGAACTTTTGGTAAAGCTAAATTTTCTTCTAAATTCTGTCATTTGAAATTAGTGATGGTCTCACAAGTACCAATAAAGAAAACACAGAATTTTGGAAACAAATATATTTATTTTTCAAGATAATCCCCTTTCAGCTTTATACACTATTCACAGCAATGTTCAGTAAGTTTCACTTTTTCACAGTTGGAAAACTTTTGACCACTGACCCATTTTCTACTTTGAGAACTAAAATAATCCGAGATGGCTACATCTGACAAATAGAAATTTTGGCCATTGTAAAAATGGATGTGTGAAATTTTGAATCAACACTTTATTCTTAGCCAAATGCAGCCAGTTTTGCTTGTTTTCGCTTAAACCTTGCAATCAGTTTAAATAAAAACTCATCGTTGATAGTGTTAAGCCCAATCCTTTGCTACGTTACTGATCAACGATTCTAACGCGTTCGATAAAGATCCCGATATTCTGTTCGAAGCGAGAATTAGCGCCGTCTAGAGAATTCGACTGGATTCCGGAAACGGTTCGAACAGATAGATAGAAATATAAAGAAATATATGTATATGAGAAAATTTAGATTTCAGGGTCAGTCGATAAAATAAATTTGTACTTTTAAGTAAATAAATGGTATAAATTAATTGTGTTTTTAGTGTTAATATTAGAAGACTGTAAATAAATTAAAATAAACATCTCGTGGCAGCGCGTTCCATCCCTTTATAAACTAAATTGCCTTAAAAAAAGCATGTAATTAAACTACATTTAACTTCTATAGTTGTAAATCTTTATAGTATTTATATTTGAATGAAAAACAAAGTTCTATTAAAAACTGTTATTTTTTCTAGTAACACGGTATTTTTTCACCTCTTTAATATATTATTTTCAGATGTATATTGGACAATCGATGGACGGATGCGTTGAATCTCTGTCGTTCAACGAACAATGAGACCACATGGGCATGTCTTGCTATTCTTGCTGTTCAATCAAGTGCAAATACAATAGATATAGCAGAAGAGGCTTTTGCAAATATTAATCATTACGATAAAGTTTACTTTTTGCAGCATATAAAGGTATCACATTTAGTAGTTAGAGTCAACAATAAATTATCATTCCCATATCCAAAATATTATAATAGCGAATATACTAGTTCCTTACATCGATTATGTAGTTGGTATGTCATCACCTTTTTCGCTCTATGCTAGTTTTAAAGAAAGAGAATATTACATTGTTATCAGTGTCGGACTGGCTCAAAAAAGGGGTCAACCTTAAACATAAATGGAAGGCGCCAGGCACCCTCTCCTAAGTATTTTAAATCCAACTTTTTTTGAAATTCTAGTGCATGTAAAGTACTCTCGTACTTTAAAGTAAATCAATATTATTTGTGACTTTTTTTAAGTTTCCGCTCGTCTTAGGGTTCAAGATTCACATCCATATGTCAATATTGGGAATATTAAGCAGTTGATCAACATGATTTTTTTAGAGTTCGTGAAATTGGAGAGTCCAATTAACTCTTCTTGACTATTTGCAAGAAGGGCTGTGTCGTCTGCAAAACGAAGCTATTTTATTTTTCGGTCATTTATTGAGGTGCCCTTTTCCTATCTTTCAAGCGCTATTCTCATAGTATGCTTCCCATGCGTATTAAATAATTGTGGATACAGTATACATCCTTGTCTGACACCTTGTTCTGGATGGATTTCGTTTGAGAGTGTGTCAAGTAACTGTTCCAGTAATGTGTTTGTATAGTTCGGTTATATGCGAAATTAAGTGTTGTGGTACGCCCATTTCTTTTAGTATTTGCCATAAGTATTGCCATTTGACCCTATCGAACGCTTTGCGATAATCTATAAAACAAATGTATAGTGGGATATTGAATTCCCTAGATTTTTGTTCTCAAATACCTCTACCTTTGGTAAATCCAGTTTTCTCTAGTGATATTTCTCTTTTTAGGAAAGTTTTCAGTCTCGCATTGATTATGTGTAGCATTATTTTGCTGGCATGTGAGAGAAGCGAAATGGTTTTGTAGTTGTCGCATTTATGAAAGCTGCCTTTTTATGTATTGTCGTTATTGAAGATTTTGTCCAGTCGTCAGACCATTTCTTGGAATGCCATATATTGTTACAGAGTAAGTAAGGCAATTTTATTCCGGTTTCTTTTGTAGCATTGAGAATTTCTGCTGTTAACAAATCTGGAACTGGTGCTTTGTTTACTAAGTTTACTGATCGCCAGTCTTATTTTGTTCTCAAGTATGTTAGGTTCTTCTTCGATTTCTTCAGGAGTTTGGTCAATAAGTTCCTATCCTTGATCGTCAACACGTCAAATAAAAGACACAAAAAGCAAGTGAAAGCACCACCAGACATCTCTGAGGAATCATAAGACCTTGATTTGTCGAATATATATCAGGATGAGGAATTGTTCAATATCGTCTTTAATGTGAAACCATCCCTTTATATACAAACGTCGAATGAAATTTATTCAATATGTAGAGAAATTGATAAGGATAATGAACTTTTATTCCACTGTATCATCATCATCATCATCATCACTGGCTCGACAACCCTTTTTGGGTCTTGGCCTGTTCAAGGGTTCTTCTCCATTCTGACCTGTTTCGTGCTTTTTTTTCTAGTTTTTAATTTTTAATGTTGTTATATCATTTTCTATTTGTTCTACGTATCTCAGCTTCGGTCTTCCTCTTATTCTTTTTCCTACTGGCACTTGTTTGAATATTTTGTTTGGTATTTCGCCTTCTTCCATTCTTTCCACATGTCCAATCCAACGTAGCCTTCCTATTTTAATGAATGTTATGATATCCGGATCCTGGTATATGTTGTATAGTTCAAAGTTATACCTTCTCCGCCAAATCCCGTTTTCTTTTGTGCCCTTATATATGTGTCGCAAGATTTTTCTTTCAAAGGTGGCTAATAACGTTTCCTCCCTTTTAGAGAGTGTCTAGGTTTCTGAACCGTATGTGAGTACCGGTCTTATTAAGGTTTTGTATATTTGGCATTTTGTTTTTCTTGAGACGTTATCTGATCTTAGTTGCCTAATTAAGCCATGGTAACATTTATTGGCAATAAATATTCTCCTCTTCACTTCCTCTGCAACGTTGTTATCAGACGTAACTAGGGATCCTAAGTATGTAAAGTTTTTTACCGCCTCAATGTTGTATTCTCCTATTGTTAAATTTGGCAGCTGCCTTATTTGTGCGTTTTTATTTGCAGGCATATATTTTGTTTTTGTCTGATTGATTTTAAGACCACTATTTTTTGCAGCTCGTTCTATTTGAGTGAATGCCTCTATCATTTCTCTTCTTGATCTTGCGATTATGTCAACATCATCTGCAAATGCTAGTACTTGCACGCTTTTATTAATTATTGTTCCTCTGGTATTAACTGTTGTGTCTCTTATTATTTTTTCAAGTATGATGTTGAATAATATGCATGATAGAGCGTCTCCCTGGCGTAGTCCCTTCTTCACATCTATTGTTTCCGTTAATTCGTTTTGTATCCGGATTTTACTTTCTACTTTTAGTGTTTCTTTTATCAATTCTATTAGCTGTGTTGGTATATTAAATTCTTTCATTGCTTTTGTTAGGAATTCTCGGTTTATATTGTCATATGCGCTTTCGAAGTCTATGAAGAGATGATGTGTCTCGATGTTATATTCACTTGTTTTTTCAAGGATCTGTCGCAGAACAAATATCTGGTCTATTGTTGACTTCTGTCTACAGAAGCCACATTGGTATTTGCCAACTATTTTTTCAGCGTATGGTCTAAGTCTTTCATACATTACATTGGACATTATTTTGTATGCCGCATTCAACAGTGTGATTCCACGGTAGTTTTCACATTCTAACTGGTTTCTTTTTTTATGTAGTGGTACAATAATGCCGCTATTCCACTCCTTTGGCAGCTGTTTATTCAACCATATCTTTCTTATCAGCTCATGTATGGCTTTAAGTAATGCGTCTCCTTCTTTCAGTAGCTCCGATGATATTTGATCCGATCCCGGTGATTTATTGTTCTTTAATTTGTCCACTGCTGTTCTAATCTCTGCTATTGTTGGTGGACTCTTTTCTCTGTTGTCTGCTTGGTCTAATGGTATATCAGGGTTCATCTCCGTCCTATTCACCCCAAGCTTTTCCTTAAAATGTTCTGTCCATCTTCTAAGTATCTCTTGCTCTTCTGTCAATATATTACCCTCCTTATCTTTACACATCGTTGTTCTCGGTTTTAACTCTTTTCTGCTTTTGTTGAGTTTCTGGTAAAATTTTCTTGTCTCTGTTGGTTTACTTAGTTCTTGTAGTTCTTGAAGTTCTTTGTTGATATATTCTCTCTTCTTTCTTCGGTGAATTTTCTTTTCTTCTTTACGTAGTTGTTTATATTCTTCCTCTGCTTGTCGGGCTTATTCCACTGTATACTATCTCCAATGTAAGGTAAAAATGAAACATGGTAAAAAAAATATTTACAAACCCTGATCATGTTTTTACATATATAATATATAAATATATATATATATATATATATATATATATATATATATATATATATATATATATATATATATATATAATTACCCTTATATTGGGAATCGTGTGCAAATACATCTTGTTACATTTGTCGTAACAAGGTTTTACTGAGTCTGTTTTTAAACCCTTATCTAGAAAACATAGACCATTGTAATTCACTAAATTCTTCTCTTTGGTTTAACATTTTAAGATTTACAGCTACATGAGATTTTAAGTTTTAACAATTTTGGCTTACTCCACTCATCCCTAATCCTTTGTTTTCCTTATTCCATTAAATTTAGTTTTAGATCAAATAATCCGAATGTATCGGTTATTTTAAAAGTTGCAATTGTGCTTCCCATACTTTAAGCTTTTCTAATAATCCTATTACATACGGTATTGTTATCTTACTCGAATCATTTGACAATCAAGTCGTTCAGGATTTAGTTTATTTCTGTATTTTTGAATTTTCTCTATTCTTCAAATTTCTTATTTTTAATTGCCAATTGCAATCATTTTTACCAAAATAAACATTTACAGAGTTACTTTTCGCATTAATGCTAGTTCTCTAAATGTAGTTTTATAAAAACTAGTTTTTTCATTGGTCATACGTTACGACATAATTAGGAAACATAATATATTAGTTATTATTCGTATGTTAAATCAAGATAATAAAATATTTAACTGATTACTTTAGGATTTACCCACACGAGCTGAACAGAAATCGCAAATGGCTTTACTCGGAGGCAAACATCAGGATGCTGAATCGACTCTTTTGCATAATGGAATGGTCTTTCAAGCTATCTATATGAATATTAATCTATATGAGTGGAATAGGTGAGATCATTACCAGTACTTACGTTGTTTCTAATAGTAATTAATTTACCCTACTAATTGTTATTCAATCATTTCTGGCAAATGCAGAGTTGTCATTTTTACGAGGTCTTTCATACGCGTCAGTGCACGGTTTAAAATGTGCCTTAAGACCTTAATTAAATAACTCACAGTGGCCCTAAAAAACTAATATCTAAATTTAAACGGTATTTAAAAAAAATCTAACTCTACTATGTTGCACGATAACTTTACTAAAAATACACAAAAAGCTTTAATTCCGCGTGCAAATGGGGATATTCAGGGGCGTGCGGTGTATGGAAGTCAGGTAGCAAGCAGATTTCCTAGGTTTCCGTAGTAATAGCGTACTAGCTGAGTAACTGGGAATATTTAACAAAAATAATTTAAACCAACACACATATATAAGCTGCCTTTTAAGCTGCATACGAGAATTATGTAGAACGAGCAACGAGCTCGTTTTGACCCTGCGCAAATCTTTAGCTTTCCTGTTCGTAATTCTACGTTGGTAGTCTTCAGAGTTGCTTCTCCTGCCTTATGTAAAAATAACCCGGGTTATGCACTGAAAAGCGAAGGTTAAGTTGACCGTATTTGTGGCAATTGATTACGAAGTTTTGGCGAATTTAAATTTGGAGATTTACTACATCGATTAACAATAGCGTCTTTGTCGACTGATTTTGTGGAATCAGCTATAGTGTGTAAATGTGTAGTATGTTTCTTATTAGAAAAACGCTTTAGTTCGTTGAATTTTTACTGCTTTTTAATTAAAGGTAGGTCAAAGCCTGAAATGAAAAATCTCACTACCAAAATATAAACTTGCATCAGACATTTTAATTCGGAAAAATCTTACGAACAATACGAGTGACTAACTGGTTGTGAATTTAGGAATAAACTCTTTTGCTAGCGTTGTTTACTGTTTGTGAATGAAAATGGTGTTTGGAATCATAGTAGTTTTGGCGATTTAAACAATTTCCATAAGGTATTCAAACGACATGTCATGTCTAAAGCTCACTTGCAGGCCGTCATCAAAGAGAACGTTTTTGAAGTATAGAATAGAACACACTTTGGATAATTCATTAAAAGTGAATCATCAAAAACATAATAAATTAGTTCATAAAAATAGGGACGTGTTGAAAAGACTTATTGACGCTGTGTGTTTTTTTTATCTTTCCATTAAATTGGGTTCAGAGGTTATGACGAAACCAGTACATCAGCAAATAGGGGCAATTACATGGATCTTGTTTTACTAATTTCTAAGTACGATCCTTGTTAAAAAACTCATGTAGAATAGTCCAGTGTGTTTCAAGGCACCTCAAATCGAATTCAGAATGATTTGATTTCTGCTTCAAACAAAATAAATTAAATGAAATTAAACAAACATGCTTCATTGTAATTATTTTAGATGAAACAACTGATTTTACCAATTTATTATATGACGGAATTATACAGGAAAGATTTTTAGGTTTTATAAATGTATCAGAAGATAGAACGGCAGACGCATTATATGAAATTGTTTGTGAACTTTTAAAATCCATTAATGGTAATGACAAACTAATTGCCCAAAGTTATGACGGCGCTGCGGTTACGGCTCGGCATTTGAGGGTCAACAATCGAAAGTGCGAGAAACATGTCCTAGTGCGATATTTATGCACAGTTTTGCCCACAAACTAACTAAACTGCCCAGTTTTATCCCAATCGGTCATGCAGATCAAAAAATGCAAAGTTTTTTTTGCAACTTTAAGTGGAATGGCTGTTTTCTTTTCTAAATCCTCTAAACGAACTCAAGCTTTAGATGCAATTGTAAAACGAAGACTACCAAAAGTTGCATTGACACGATGGAATTACAACGCCAGACTAGTACAGTAAAACTTCCTTTAACCGAAAACTTTTTAACCGAAACATCGTTTAACCAAAACAGCTGACAGTTTCAATAATTTCGTCAATAAAAAGTTAATTTTTATCGCAAAACGTACACAATTTCATTAATTTCACTCACCGATTGATGCAGACGTGTGTTGGGAAATCAAAAAACTAAGAGCTCTAAAAGATATTTGAGCACTTCCAGTTATAGAAGCCAAAAAAGCTCATGTATTTCAACCACTTTATTTTCAAAATGGTTCGAAAATGAATTCATCCCAAGTGTAAAATCCTTTTTAAAAAAAAAAAAACCTTCCCATCAAAGCAGTGTTGCTTGTTGACAATGCGCCAACTCACCCTCAAAATCTATACAATTTTTGCCACCGAATGTCTTGAGCTTAATTCAGCTGTTAGACCAGGGAGTAATAGAGATATTCATGAGACATTATAGAGGAGCATTCTTAAGACATCTGTTATTACAGAAGCTGAATTAATCCAAAAGTTTGAATGTGTTGCTTGTGTGAGTCCATATCAAATAGGTAACGAAATAATAATAAGACTTACTCACAATCAATTTAATTTAACAATCTGACGACCGGTTTCGCTTTCTACAATTTGCAAAGCATCTTCAGGTCGAGATACAAAGTTAAACTAATGCTGCAATAAAATAAACCCAATTAGGGTGGTGTCTCATAAAGATAAAATAAACAAATAAATTAGTTCATACAAATTATAGTAATTATGCCAATATTACATGTCTGTGTTTTCAAAATGAATAATTTGAATATATAAAAGGTATTAACAGACAAGGTAAGACCCACAATTGGTATAAAGTAGCAATCTTATATTGTAATAAATTAATAAATGAGCAAATAAATAAAACAAAACAAACATTACTTACATGCCGGTACTCTATTAATTGATGGATGGTAGGTCATGGTTGCAAAAATCATGTATTGTTGATTATAGAACTTTAATGTGCTATTGCAGTTGTTTTGACAATAAACGGGAAGTTCTTGAGGAGAACAGATTTGATCCAATGAATTAGAGATAGGTATATTGTGGTTGTTTGTCAGATGAAAGTGATGTTCTTTACTACAAACAACCACAATATACCTATCTCTAATTCATTGGATCAAATCTGTTCTCCTCCAGAACTTCCCGTTTATTGTCAAAACAACTGCAATAGCACATTAAAGTTCTCCAATCAACAATACATGATTTTTGCAACCATGACCTACCATCCATCAATTAATAGAGTACCGGCATGTAAGTAATGTTTGTTTTGTTTTATTTATTTGCTCATTTATTAATTTATTACAATATAAGATTGCTACTTTATACCAATTGTGGGTCTTACCTTGTCTGTTAATACCTTTTATATATTCAAATTATTCATTTTGAAAACACAGACATGTAATATTGGCATAATTACTATAATTTGTATGAACTAATTTATTTGTTTATTTTATCTTTATGAGACACCACCCTAATTGGGTTTATTTTATTGCAGCATTAGTTTAACTTTGTATCTCGACCTGAAGATGCTTTGCAAATTGTAGAAAGCGAAACCGGTCGTCAGATTGTTAAATTAAATTGATTGTGAGTAAGTCTTATTATTATTTCGTTACCTATTTAATCCAAAAGTGTTCCCGAAATTCTCAAATCTTCAACAATGAAACATGTGGGTTATAGGTGTGCTGAGTTCTAGGCCAAGATAAACTCTTTAACTTTGGAAAAATGCTGGAACTAACTTTTTGATTGGATTTTGATTGACGATTCTGAAGAAGAAAATGGTAAAGAAACGACAGAAGAAATTAAACCTTTAATAAAAAATTTGCCGTGATGTGACGAAACTAACCAAGATGAGATATGTGAGTGGTTAGTACCCAGAAAGGGAATTCATCGACCAGGACATCATTGATATGGTTCTTCGTCCAGACAACCTAAGCGTATCAGACGACGAAGATGACGACCCAACAGACAACAGGCGGCATAAGACAGATGACGAGATTTTCAATGCCTTAAGGATAAGGATTATACAGTAGGCCTAATTAGTTAGGGACACGACTAGGTTCTTAATTTTTGTTGTCATTGTATAAAGTTTTGTCCTTTTCAGATTGCTTTATGTTTCATCGAACGATGGAATGAGGCAAACTCACGACGTTCTGCAAATGAACGATGGAGATATATAGCTGCAAAACATCGTTGTCAAACGATAACGCAATAGAAAATATAAGATTTCTTTAAAAAAGCATGTTAAACTTGTTCATTTTCCTTAATTTTATTACTTTATTCTGTATTTACTTATTAGAAAACATTACGAAATCACCAGATAATATTTTTTAATACCAATACCTTAACCAAGAATACTAAAAAAAACTATTTCGGTTAACGAAGGTTTTACTGTATTAACAGTCTTAGATCACCGCGGTTCTTTAGATTGAATCATTTGAGAGTGTTTTGGAGAATGGTGAAAAGTGGGATACCGAAACCATAAATGGCTAGAGGATTTTTGGATAGTTTAAAAAATAATTTTAATTTTAATTTTTTAATATTGCTTTTTTCTGAAATATTTCCATTCTCAGATAATTTATTTAATTTATTACAATGTAATATAAACGATATTGGCTCATAAAAAATTATTGAATTTAAAGATGTTATTAACAAAAACAGAGATGGCAAGAAGTTTTGAATTGATATAAGGTTGAATGCTCGAACAAATGAATTTTGATCAAATGAAAGGCAAATGTCGAGCACAGTTTTATTAATTAAATCTTGCCCAAGTACTTTCGCTTCCTAGAGCATCTTCAGGGGCATTTCGTCAATTTTGGCCTATCCAACAATTATCATCATCATCCAACCTCAAGAGTCCACTGCGGAACATAGGCCTCTTCCTCATGTTTCCAACCCCGTCTATCTTGCGCCGCTCTTATCCAGTTTTTATTGAGTTTTCTTAAATCGTCAGTCTATCTTGTAGGTGGTCGACCGACGCTTCTCTTGTCTTCCCTTGGCCTCCATTCCAATAACCTCTTTGTCCATCGCCAATCTGTCATTCTGGCTATGTGTCCTGCCCATCTCCATTTTAGTCTGGCTATCTTCTCGGAGAGTTATTCCTAACATGGACCGCTCCATTCTTCTCTGCGTGACTCTGTTTGGTAGCTGCTGCTTTTGTTAAGGTAAGTGTTTCTGCTCCGTACGTCAAGACTGGGAGGACGCACTGATCAATGCGTCCTCCCATCCAACAATTATAGAATGTCATAAACATAAAATTGTACGTTACACCACACTACATAAGGACAAACACTTTCATCATTAGTTGGCGCTACAGCCCTTCATGAGCCTTGGCCTGCTTCAAAACATTCTTCCATCTTCCCTATCGAGTGTCTGCCTTCTCCAGCCCCTCACTCCAATCTCCCTCGGATCTTCCTGTACATCGTCCAGATATCTGAGTTTAGGTCGCCCCCTTCTTCTTCTTCCGACCGGCCTGTTTAGGATAGTTATTTTAGTGGGATCACTCTCATCCATCCGCATAACCTGGCCCATCCACCTTAGGCGGTTTATTTTGATGGTCTTCACAGTGGACAAACACTTTAAAATTGTTAAAAATAGGCGAAGCTACATTATTGTCGGCATCAGGAGAGAGAATGCTCAGAGAGAGTAAAAGCAACCTGGGCCGAGAGGAAAAAAATAAAATCTTGGCGCACAAAAGGAATGTTATATATTATAAAGCACATAACAAAATTGGAAGCTGATATGTTTTAACTATTATTAAAATCAAATGCCTATGGATCCACGTAGAGTCTGTAAATTTTTATTTAAACTTGATCATGAGGCAATAAGTTAATTTATTTCATCATGTTTTTCAGGGCTCTAGATCTGGCTATTAAACATAAAACTCATATCGACACTGTTCTCTATTTAAGAGAAAAATATTTAAAAGGGTTGGACAAAACTGAGAACAATAACAGATTTATTAGCCTTAACGAAACTGTAAGTACTTAATTTGTTTAATTCCAATAACAATATTTTTGTTTAAGTTAATTATTTATTCTTATCTTATACTACTTTCTCTTTTTTTGTTAAAAACTTTAGTTACTTGAGAAGCTTTTCATAGATCGCCCGGATAATGGAGTTTTGTCTGCTAGTAAGAATAACACAAAAAAATCTTCGTCCGTAATATTTTCTTCTCGGTCTTTATAGTTTTCTCTTTTCTTTTATCTCTTTTTTAACTTCGTTTGATCAAGATCAGTTTTTCGTATTTTCCAATTTCTTTCATTTCAATTATTGATGAATGTTTTAACTCTTACAGTACCGTCAATCCGAGAATTCCCAGTGTCGTCATATGTAATTCAAAGTCTAGTCCCTCCTACACCGCTCTATATTTTCCTGTAGATTGACCCACTTCTTCTTCTTCTTCTTCGTCTAGCCATTCACGTCCACATCTGAACATAAGCCTCTTCAAGTCTTCCTTTCCATTGTTTTTTATTGTACGCTACTTGTAGCCAATTTTTCCCAGCAGTCCTTTTCAGATCATCTGTCCATCTCATAGGAGGTCTGCCTCTGGGTCTTTTGTGTTGGTATGGTCTCCAGGTTAAAATTGATCTGTGCCATTTATTTAGATCGCTCCTAGCTACATGTCCAGCGTATTCCCATTTCAGCTTTAATGCTTTTTGCACCACATCGGTGACTTTGGTTTTCTGTCTTATCCATGTGTTTGTTTTCTTGTCCTTAAGTGATATACCTAGCATTGCTCTTTCCATCGCGTGTTAAGTGACTCTAAGTATATTCATATTCTTTTTTGTGATTGTCCATGTTTGTGCCGCATAAGTTAATATCGGAATAATGCATGCATTAAAAACTTTAGATCTAAGATGTAATTGAATTTGTTGATTTCTGAGTATATAGTTCAGTTTACCGAATGCTGCCCAAGCTAACTTTCTTCTTGACCCACATGTGCATTAAAATCATCTGCTTTTTATTACCGTCTTCTCTGTTGGAATATCTTTAAATGTATCAAAAGATTTCATACTCAAATTTCTCTCACATTATTCTGTCACTAGTTCCTACAACTTATTTCTTTATCTTTTCAATTCACAATAACTGACAAACGTTCAAAATTTCAAAACAACACGGCTGGTGCGCGGAGAATTTGTACGCAATCATTAATACCTTTACGGAATGCGACTGACACTTCGTGTGAAGAAATCAATTATCATTTGTAGGAGTTAGACAGCAAGGCTGCCAGGTCTAGGGATTTATCCCGAATCTAGGGATATTTCAGTATAAAAGGGACAGAGGGATTTTTTTGATATTTAGTGTAAAATCTAGGGATTTTTGACCGGCTCAAATATTTACCCACATAGGCCTATTATAATAACATTTTCTTTAATTCAGGTATAAAACCACTTCGTATTAACAGTATTAAATACACGATCTTTCATTACAACTAATTAAACTAACAGTAAACTACTTAAAGATTCTATTATCAGATGTCGCTAACTGTCCACGTTCTTGGAATCTTTATTTTATGCTACCAAATAGATTTCTGTCAAAAGTAGATTCCTATATATTTTCAGAAAGAAGCAAATTCTGGAGCTGGAATTAGGGGATTTACAAAAGTCCTAGCTTTTATAAAATAAATAATTAGGGGATTTACAGTAGGAATCGGGTGATTTACAGGATTCGTGAAAATCAATAAATAAAATTCTATGCTTCACCGTTTCATTTCTCTTCAAGTTGTATTTTGTATTAATTTTATTAAGTAAATATGTAAAGAATACGTACGTTATTCCGTTTTTGTTAAATTTATTCAAATGATCGCTATTGTACTGTTTATGAAATAAAGGTATAAAACAACAATTTTTTTATATCAATGTTATTATATTAATCAACTATCAATACATCTCATAATTTTATTCAGAAATAGGCAACCATATATACATTTATTCCAATCTAGGGATTTCTAGGGATATTTAAATGTTCAATTTAGGGAGGACAAAAATTTTCACCTGGCAACCCTGTTAGACAGACATGCCAAATACTAATGGCACAGACCGATCTTTGATCCAGACCACAATTTTTCTTAATTAGATAGGTACTATTATGGCTAAGTTTATTGAAGGTAGTGTATAGTGAGACATACACTTTGAATAATTAATAAGTACTATATGAAAAGTAATTGTATAAAATAAATATTAATATATTTTATTGATTTTTTAATACATCGGTGTTGATAAAATATATTTTTTACTTTTCAGGTTAACATTGATAAAGAAAAAGTTGAACAAAAGCTTATGATGGAGTTTCAAAAACAAAAACAAAGTGGATAAATATATGTTACCATATCACTGTTCAAAAATTGTATATAAATAAAATATCATCGTTAATTTCTTACGTTTTTTACTTATTAGTACTTCATTTTAGTATTTCTTCAAAATTGACTACAAAGTTAACATTTTGTTAGTGAATATTTGACTTCTTTTGCGAATGGATAATGATGGAAGATCCATACGATCTGTGGAGCACCCAGAGGGGGGGTTTGAAGGTTGAACCCCTTCCCCAGGGCATATAAAGTAAAAAATTTATAAAGAATAAACTTTGAACAAATGAAAGGTAGATATCGACCACAGGTAATTAATTAAATCTTGCCCAAGTACTTTCGCTTCCTAGAGCATCTTCGGGGCATGAAGTAGATTAACAGTACACGACACAAGGACAAGTTTAATTTTTTTTACGGCGAAGCTACATGTTGATTGGCATCAGCAGAAAGAATGATGATATTCTCTCTCCTGATGATAATCAACATGTAGCTTCGCCATTTGTTTTTTTAAATTCCAAAATATTTATATTTGTGTCATGTAGTATTAATGTACAATTTGACGAAATGCCCTTGCAGACGATCTAGGAAGCGAAAGTACTTGGGCAAGATTTAATAATAAACTGTGCTTCTATATCTGCTTTTCATTTGATCAAAATTCATTTATTCGAGCATTCAACCTTACATCACTTTATAAAGAATAGTAGAAAAATGTAATTTGTCTTTCACACACAATACAAAAAATCCAAAACGCTAATTTAATAATTGAATTACCACTTTAAATATGTAGAATACAATAATTATTGTATATAGATTAATTCATAATATTTTTCTTTATATCTAGATATAGATACCTAATGTTAAGCTCATGATAAGAATAGACAGAACGAGTCTGTTGTAAGTAGCATGCGCCAACAGGACTGTATTTGCGGCGGCCTTGTATACTATCACGGGTTATGTTCCTCAGCATGTGTTAGCAGTAGAAAGGAGACATCTCTTTGAGAGAAGAGAGCATTTTGACAACAGCCATAAAAAAGAAGACAGGGAAAGATCAATGGAAAGATAGCAAGAAGAGTGGAGCAACATGGCAAGTGTTGCCCAGTGGACCAAGATGCTGATCGCGAGCCTAAGGGACTGGGTAGATTGTCTATTTTAGGACGTATCTTTAAAAGTTTAGAAAGACAGATAAAGATAAATACCTATACTGCGAATATTTCGACACTGTTACTCACACAATGCTGAAGTGTAATAGATCTACAGTGAAGAGAAACAGAATGTATAGAGAAATAGATATGAACCCTGTGACTGTGAGAGAGATGATCGTGAAAATGACGGGAAATAAGAAGGGATGGAATAGTCTTTACAATTGCATCTGAACAGTAATTAAAAAGAACAGGTGATTGAACACCTACCTATGGATATTAAACAGCCTCGTTAAAGCAGTGGACAGAGCGGTAAATGTACAAGTGAAAGCATGGTCACTGGTTCGAACTTGCCGAGTACATGATTTTTCTACGGTAAAGAAAAATCGTATTTTTAATTAATAGAATTATAATTACATGTGGTAAAAGATATCACTGTATTTTTCTAACCTTCCTATAGGTACCACATTATCAAAGTTTGATAAAAACGACACAATTGATAAATTTGTAGAGAATCACAAAGGTGTTGGATAAGGTTACCAGTTTGATATCAATAAAATGATTCACATGACTCGATAGACTAATTACTGAGTCAAACATTGAGAAAAATAGATTTTTACTAAGGAACTAAGATATCTTTATAGATTCGAAATCTATTTCATTCTGTTGTCCAGAGTTTTTCTTCTAGCTCCTGTTGTCATGTATATTTCTGTGATGGTATTTTGATCGAATGCCTACATTGTTTGGTACAACTACAGATAGTTTCAGCCTCTTATAACATTTTTTTTAAGGCAATAGACATGACTCAATCTTACTTAATATCAAACGGCATGCTTTCCAAGTATCTTCATACAATTTTAATATTTGGGGTTAATTTGGAAATAAGTTATCAAACATTTCGTTTCATAAATAAAAGTTTATTAAAAATATACCTAACAAAACACAATTCAAGCAAATATCTAATTTTCCAAGAAAGAAACAAAATCAGTCAATTTAGATAGTTGATCTTCACTACTAGTCTGTCCCACGTATTCGACAACTTTTCTTACTGGATGTATAATTTTTGATTCTGCGTCATATTTCCAACCTCTCTCTTCACAAGCTGGTACGCATACCTCTAGAGGTAAGCCTGTCATTGCAGATACTGTGTCTAAAGTTATGGATGAATATGCTTGAGATATTAAATCAACAGCCCTGGTTCGAACAACTTCTGCAATAATGAATATAAAATTAGCATCGACACTAGTTACCTGAAACAGGGTTAAAGATACAATTGACTCCGGAACAATCTTAAAGAATCTCCCGGCAAAAATGCCATACAATATTATTTTAACCAACCGGGACTTGCGTCAACTTTTATAACATTAGAACAACTCACATGTACAGAAATTTTCTAACCCCAACTTTATGTGTATAATTTTTTGCTGTCCTAGATGTATTCAATAAAAACAAATGTTATTTTTTATATAAGCTAATTTATGTAATATTGATACACACTCATAGTTGAACGTTAAACTAAATCCCTCATCATTATCACTTGAATTGCAAATATTGTTACATTGAATGCAAATAAAAGTTGTTCTGGTTATGTGTTCTTTATGTATTGATATTGGAATTTAACATGTATTACATCTATGTTGCATAAATCTGTTGTTTCTGGTAGGACAAAAACTGCATCTAGGCCTACTATTTTCAGGATTTTCTGATGTTGATTGTTTAGAATATATCTTGGAACTTTTTCTTTGGTCAATTTCTAAAATCAAATTAATCTTTTGTTGAAGATTGACTGGCAATGTTGAAGTAGTCTTAAAAGATACGGAGGGGTAATTTGTTTTGACAAATTGGAAATAAGGGCTTTTCGGGTCAAAGAGATAGTTGTGTTATTTCTGTAAATTATCTGTGACTTAACTTCTGTAAATTATCCTGTTGAAAATGATAAAATGCCAACATTTGCTAATTCAACTCACATAATGAATTAGATCCATTAGGGATGTTCTAAGGATAATCAGGCATTTCCCAGTATAAATCTCATAAGATATGCATATAAAATATACTGAAATTAATGAGAGCATATATTTTGATGCCTTACTTTGCATTCTTGCTGGTGATATACTGTATGAAGCTGTAGCATACTCAGAAAGACTGTAATATATCATCAATGGTGACATTCTGCCTAGGCATATAATGATTCCAACAAATTTCAACAAACTTTTGAAATAGAGATCTTATTGCCAATATGCCAACCTGGGACCTTTCAATCTTTATTTCTAGACCATGAAATCTGATAGTTTTTACCAATAAATGGAATCATGTAGACATTGTAGCTAGAAAATAATCAGGCAAAGTTCCATTAGTTGCTTATAGCTCTTTTGTGTTTAGGTAATAACCTTTTTGATGCCAGCCATATAAATCAATTCGATAAATGTTAATAACTATTCAATATCAGTAGATCTACAATATCTTGGTTGTTTATATAAAGTTGGAAGTAAATCCAATTTTTCATTTTTCAATCAGACCACAAACTTTCACATAGGGAATTTTTGGCTTATGTTTTAGCCACTGTGTGCCATCCCATATGCTCAGGCAAAACTTAAACTGGATTGCTTATGGATACTGAAACTATCCCTTCATTATCACCAGATTGTTTGGTGTCAGATGTTTACTATGTTCACTAGAACTGCTGCAACACTACTAAATCAGAATCACAATCTATAGGGATAGATTCCCCATCTGTAACATCCCCAACATAAATTAATTGGTTTAAAAATGACAACAATAATTGCTAATAAATACTGCTTCTCTATAAATCACAAAAATTCAAAACCAAATCACATATATGATAACTTATGTCATTACATGTTTACTAACAAATACACAACCCTAATTGCTTATGTTAGATTTATTCTAACAAGCCCAGTTTTAGGTAGCTTACAAACCTTGTCTTCCCCCATCCATCTATATTAAATTCGTAAGGTATCATTTATTTTGCATTCCTGGAGTTAAGCATTTATTGGAATGTGAATTTAAAAAAAGTTCTATAGCGAAACTGAAATTATTGGATTTTTTCTATAAGCGTGAGTCCTCGCAGGTTAATAATTTGAAATATTACGGTTATAAGATAATTATAGTGAAAAAAGTCAGGAAATATAAAAATGACAGTTATCATAAATATATCAGCTTGTCAACATCCTTGTAAATAAAAAGCAAAATTAATTCATTCTCTACCTTATGAGGTGAGCTAGTAAATAACAAGATTAACACTATAAAATATTTTATTTGGATTCAATAAATGTTTGTCTGTTTGATACATATGTGGTTCTTTTTCATAGCTTTAAATGACTCAGAAGAGGAAGACAAATAAACCACATACGTTCAACCAAAGAAAAAAAGAAAATGAATTTCACCACATTATGTCCAACTGCTGATTGTTATTCTTGTCTTTAGATATTTTTCAACCAATCAAAATTAAAATTAAAGATTATCCAAACTGATATTTAAAAATAGAAGATCCTCTATTTTAGAGGATTTGATGAAATCCAAGAAATGGTAAACTTTTTGGTTTGGTCAAACTAATCTGATCAAATATTTGACCCTGTGACACAGACTTCACAGTACATATGGTGAATAGCAAATATTTACCTTAGAATCTTTATGAAACAAAATGCTGCTCTATTAGTATTAATCTTTGTCTCAAGGTCTTAGATTTTATGGATTGGAATATTATTATAATTATATTTTAGGCCTAATATATGTTTCACTTTTGAAACATATAAAGTAGTATCAGATTTATAAAGGTTTTACTGTATTATAAAGTAAGATAATGTACCTTGAACTTGTTTCATAATATCTGCCACTATATCTGACCAAGTAACAGCATTCAAAGCTGTATAAATAGCTGGGAAATCTCTTTTCCACATACTTTGTCCCACTGCCCAAATGTGAGCAAGCTCTGGAGTAGAAGTTTTAACTGTTGGTGGAATACGCTTCCACAAATATTTTGCATTGCATCTAAAAATAACACTGGTAAATGCAGAAAACAGAAGTACATATATAACTTACAAATCATTTTGGTATAAATAAATAGCTAGAAGTTGTTGATACACCTGAGGAGCTGCAATACCATTGGGAGCCTAAAAATTAAATTTAAAAGTTACATTACATTACATTTTCCTATTTCACTGAGTCTCATCCATTTCACATGCCTACATGCTGTCTAATACCACAGAATAGACCACGCAGTTGGGTGGTGTATTCTGTGCTAATACTATAACTACCTAAAAACGATAACGAAGAAAGCTGCAATGCTTTATCAAAGAGAACAGTGTAGTGAACAGTGAACATGGATGTAATGCCTGATTTAACATAATAATGAAATGAAAAAGACATATAGAAGAATAAAAAAAAACGTTAAGTATATAGTAGATCTTAAAAAAGTGTGTAAAACAAACACATTTCAAACCAGAAAAACGATTTACCAAAGCTAGTTTTTTAAGGTTGATGATTGCAAAATTGGATATGGCAATAATCCAATTTTTAATAAACGACGAATATATTTTAGACCTACCTCAAGTTCTTGTCGCTGTAATTCCTCTGCTAATTGGTCGTTGTTATTTATTACCATTGTGCACAATTTAAAAACTCCGTCTAATCAAAATCAAAATCAAATATAAACACAATTAATTCAAGAAAAGGAGAAAACCATAGCACACTACCACCTAGCATTGAAACTTCCGTGTTGACGAGTAAAACAATGATTGGCGCATCACCTAGTGACCGGGCGCCTAACTATATATGCATGGCGCGAAATTCAAAAGTTTAGTAATATTACCTAGGATTGTGAACTCATTTTAAAGTAAAGGAAAATCGATATAATCCTAAAATAACAAGAAAAATCCTTATCCTATACGATAATAAATATTTGTCGTATACTTTTTGGGTTTTCTTGTTATGTTGAGACTATATTTATTTTACATTACATTAAAATGCCAAAGTGGTTAAAAAAAATAAAGAATAAAATATATAATAAAATCTTTATTTATAAAAATGTTACAAGAAATGTTATATGTGTTACAAGAAATATTAATAATAAAAGCCAAGTGTACTATAATTTAGTTTTCTTAATTTGGCAAGAACTGGTCAGTATTTAAATAATTGTTTTGTCTTAGTATGTCAAGTTTTATGTGAATAAAAGCCTAATTGTGCAAAAGGCATTTTACTACAATTTTATTCTCATAATTCGCAAAGAACTCAAACATTGGTATATAACATTCAAGATTTTTTTAGAAAGCAATGAATCTAAAGATAAATCCCTAGAAGACAGAGATAAGTACATGCTTTTAATAAATTTAGTCTATAATTACATAAGCGAAGCAATCAATGGGGAAAACCAATTGCTTTTTTCACACATACTCTCACAGATTCTGAATGAAAACATGCAATTGAAAAAATGCAAATGCATTGAAGTATTAAAAAAATGCAGCCATTATCTGGTAGGAAAGCAATTCAAACCAATCACAGATTAAATCACTATTTTTTGTATATAGAATGCTGGCATATATAAAATCTGACAAGGAGAACTAGCTTTACTTCACAAGAATTTATTAATTATCTACACTCTAAAGGAATATTTCAAGTAGAACAACACCATATAACCATGAAGGAAATGGTTAAGTTGAAAGATACAATGAGTTATATGGAAATTGGTGAATCTAGCATTGAAAACCAAATATTTAGACATCACTAAATGAAAAACTGCTTTACCAGGAGCTCTGTACTATATACGAAGTTTACTATTGAATTGTTATATTAATAAATCATGATAATGATGAAGATGAAAGTCCAAATAACACATTAGAGAATTCCACTACTAAATTAATACCAGATGTGACAGAAAATTTACCTGTTCAAAAACCTGATGATTGGATTGATGAATGAACCAAGATTGGAAAATTCAGATTTTCAATCTAGCTGTAAATCAGCTGGAACTAAAAATAAACCAAGATAGTTGCAATATTTTGTTCACAAATAGGGACAGAAAAATGTAGTATAATTTAGTGTTCTAAATGTTGTGACAACAACTTGTCAGTAATTAAATATTTTTTTTTAATTCTAATGTCAAATTAAAGCCTAATAAGCAACAGGCAGCCGCCAGACATTCTGAGTTCTTTGTAGTACTTACATCCTAATCTAATAACACACACTACCAGTGGTCAGTGAGAACTCTTACTGTCTGGCGTTCTACTCACAGAAAGACAGAACTCTGCTAAGTTGGAAACAGAAAAATTAAATGATTTAGTTCTAGAAAGAACTTTATATACATTTGTATGATAATATTTTTAGTCATATTTAAACCTATAAACCCAACAGTTAGCTCTAAGATTCTAAGATCCAGCACTATAAAGATGGAAAAATAACATTAAAAATAAAAAATATGTAAAGTATTACCTAGTTACAATAAAAACATGAAGTATTTTACAAAGTTAAGTTTCCAAACTCTATGTTACCAGTAACTCTTTTCTACTAATATTTATATATTTATTGAGAGACATATTAAATACATTTAGATTTAGGTTGTTCTACAAAATGGAACATTAAAAGTACATAGATGAGACAAACCATGGTAATATGGTACTCTGACCAATCTTACTCACAAGAAAGCACAGATCTCTCCTCGCACTTAACAGGCAAGCTCAAAGACCCATATGATAGTGTAGTCATAGTCTGCTAATCTGATCCAACTTTGAAAGGCGCACACCTGTAGAAATTTATGTCGAACCCTCTCTAAGGTGATGATTTTTAAGATAGTTGTTGAACCACCACCTACAAAATAATTCAAATTGTAAGCAAGTAAGACTGATTTTATAATATATAATTTTAGGTTAAATTTATAATTAACTAATTTTATAAGTAAAAGGTCACATACATACATGTATTGGCATAATAGTTCTTACCTGGTGCTGGTAAAAACAAACTCAGAAGGGCTGTTCTCGTAATACCGGTATGTCCAACATTAATTATATCGTCCCCTTTAAAATGACTAAGGCATACACGAAAATTGTTATAAATAGTTTCTGTTGCAGCATTCTATAATTAGGGCTCTTAACAACATTCACCCATTTATCAAACATATCCATATACGAAAAACTACATTGTTTGCCAGTAGTACCTATCCATGTGACTGAAACACATCTTTTTGTTCAGTTCTTCGTCTCTACATTGTTATTCTATGTAATGTGTTCGAGTCCATAATAAAAAATCGTCTAAAATTGTACCTTTTTACACCACTGATATAAAAAATTTTAAATTATAAAATAAATTAAATAATAATAAAAGATAAAACCAATACAAATATGGCGCCGTATTTGTCTAAACTCAACTTTGAATTTTCCACAGCACACTCCCTCCGCGCAGGAAAGAGACTAGCAGCGCCACCATACGAATGGGCGCCAAATCCGAACATGATTTGGCCTTGGCTATCTCTGTTACCAATCTAGGTAAATTTATCTATGGAGAAAACTATAACTTTCACATGTCAATTTCAGTTGTCGGCGTACCAACATTTAATCATAACATAACTAAAACACTCTTTTCAAATCAAAAGCACCGAACAAAACACCGTTGTTCGGTGTCAAAAGCTTGTAGGGGCACATTCTAAAACACCTAAAATTGTTGTGATATTATGTTAATACAAAATAGCTGAAACAAATTTTCGTATTGATATTCAAATAAGAAATGCATGTCTTTAAGAACAATGTTCATGAGCATGTTACAAATTTGGGGAATGTAGTGGCTAAACTGAATTAATTCATCAATCGTGCAGACGTCAACTTCAAAGTCAGATGGTTGAAATGCAAGTAATCTTATTTGAGAAAAACAATTTAATTTAAATAATCTTAATCTGGTTGTAACCAACAATATATATTTTGTAAAATGGAATGTCTAGGTGAGTTCCATTAAACTGTTTAACTACACTAACAAGTTTTAATAAAAAAATAAAATCCATCCATCTTGTTCTTTGTGGCCTATAGGTTTTTTCAGGGAAATAGATTTTTATTGTTTAAATAAAGCGTATTATATTTTAGACCCTGAAAATAAAAACGGAGAAGAAAAACACTTAAATAGTGTTGAAGTAACAACTACTAAAGAAGAAGATGATAGGCTAACAGAGCCTTCTGAATCTAAAATTCCTAAAACTGATGTCAAAGAAAATACTGTTGCAAATCCCGTGGAGGCTGTGGAAAGTAAGGAAAACGATTTGGAAGAAAAAAGTGATCCTGTTGAAATTAAAGTGATATATAACAAAAAAAAGTATGATATCAGGACAACCTCCAATACAACAATCTTAGAACTAAAGAAGCATTTACAAGATTTATTAGGTATGCAGTTTAAAATTTACTTTTATAGGAAATATACAGTATTAATAAAGAAATGTGAATCATTGTTGGATCCTATTAAGCACTGTAAAATACCTTGAGACTGGAATGTATTTTTTACTCTAAGTTCTATACTGGTAAAGCAAAAGATAAAATATATTTTCTTTTAAATGTTACACCTAAGGTTTAATTTGGGTATATTTTATGATATGACCTACAATAATTTGTGATTTGTGCCTGAATATTTCCCTTGAATTGTAAATCTCTGTACAAACATATTTTCTTATATTCTGTTACAATTAGTGTAGAGCATAATCATTCATTATAAAAAGCACTCAGTTTCATTCAAATGTGAGAAGTGAACTAGGTCGCTCTTTTTGTTCACTAGTTCATTAACACTTACAGGAGATATTAATTTACACAAGAGCAAAACATAATATTGCTTGTACATAAGTTTATTTTTGATAATGCCAATTTTAATTTAAATTAACTTAAAAAATATTTTATTACAAAATTTATTTTTTATGTTTAAAAGCTCAACATGAAATATATTTATGATTTCATAATGTAGATTCAGCACTCATCTGCTCACCGTCACTAGTCATGAAAGTTGATCTTCGTAGTGAAACCTTTGCTTTTTTGCAGGTATATTTATGTACATATATTTTTAGGTGTTCCAGATGCAATGCAGAAACTTATGTATAAAGGACTTTTACAAGATAGTCAAACTATTTCTAATTCTGGTATCACAAAAGGCTCAAAAATTATGTTAGTAGGATCTACTTTAAATGATGTCTTAGCTGTTTCATCTGTCAGCAAACAGGTAAGGTTTTATATTGAGAAATAGTTATGAGGTATACAAGGAGATATTCAAAATGTCTCTTTTTTATAGTCTGTCAATAAGTGTTTGATTAGACACAAGTGTATCAATGTTTGTGGCTTAGTCCAATGTATATGTTTTCATATAGAGTGAATAAAAGGTATTTGTAAAAATTTTAGTCTGTCAGATACCCAAGATGGCAAGACAGATTAATCACATTCACTTCACTGTGACTGATCTAGCAGATCAATGGTTCAAACTCTGGCCAGAAAACAAAAAGGCTGATATAGTACTTTAAAACTCTAAATGGATCTGCTACTTAGACTAGAATATGAGGGTGTCTATGATCAACTTATGGGTGAGGACTACAGAAGAGTGGCTTGTAGCTCAGTTTACTTACTCCATAGATCTCTACTGGTTGAGCTTATATACTTAAAAACCAGAATATAGATATTTCATTATAAATTTGCTATCTTGGATCAACCTGTTTATCTAGGATCTCTGGATATTCTGAATTGATTTTCAATTGAATTGTTAAAACTTAAATACATAAAGGACCTAGAACAAACCTAATAAAAACAAATATTGATTACATTAACAAAATATTTTCCTGAAAATTTTTAGTAGTATATCATAATTTACTAGTAAATCAGTCATCACAAATCACAGTATTTGTCATTCTTCTGGAAGGAATTGCCAACACATTTAAAAATTTGTAAAAAAACTATATACTCTAGGATATGACGGTTCTCTGCTCAGAATTCTGTTTATATCCATGGATTTGCTTGAAATTGTGACAGTGGGTAGAAAGAGCTTAAAGATCAAAATTTACCCTATGGCAATATGTGCTTTTCCTCTGTGATGTTTACCACCCCAACTCGGGGGTAAAGTTTACTAAAAGAAAAAACCATGGTAGTTGTTGCTAGAATGGTGACTGATTTTTTGCATCATATAATTAATATTAATTGTTTTTGTTACTTCCAAAGTACCAATTTTTCAAAGTATATATTATGCCAACCTAAAATATTGGTTTTCTTCTTCTTCATCTTACGGTGCTTATCTGTTCCGGATGTTGGCGATCAACATGGCTATCCTAACTTTGCTTGCTGCTATTCTGAATAGTCCGGTTGTTGATGTATTAAACCACTTTCTTAGGTTTTGAAGCCAAGATATTCTTCTTCTCCCTGGTCCTCTCTTTCCAAATACCTTGCCCTGAAGAATGAGTTGCAACAAGCCGTATCTCTGTTCATTCCTCATAACATGGCCAAGATATTCTAGTTTGCGCTCTTTGATGGTATTAATAATCTCGCATTCCTTGCCTATTCTACGTAGGACCTCAACATTAGTCACACGATCCACCCATGAAATTCTTAAGATACGTCTGTAACACCACATCTCGAATGTCTCGAGTTTTCTTAAGGAAGCTTCGGAAAGGGTCCAGGTCTCTACTCTGTATAATAAGGTAATATAATATGTAAAATACATAGCATCTAATGAGAGAGATTTTGGTAGCAAGTGGTAAATCATGACTTCTGAAAAGAGACTTTATCATTATGAACACTGATCTCGCTTTTCCTATGCGTTGTTTTATTTCACTGGAGTGATCCCATTGGCTGTTAATGTTGGTACCAAGGTATGTGTAGCTGTCCACTCTGTCAATTGTCACTATTGTTAATACTGTCAATATTGGTTTTGATAATAATTAATTAACAAAAGTAATGTTCTTTTGTGTTTTATATTTTGTTATGACTGACTTGAATATGAAAACTGTCTTTTTATGTACTCTGTATATTTATGAAGTATATATTATTAAAAATAACTAAAAACTGACAGTTTGAACCTTTGTAACCTCAGAAAAAATTGATTTCTGTGGCTTGGCGCAACGATAACTTTTGAATGGCATGACCAAAGCTACCTATCGGCAAAGTTTCAGCCAATTTAACTGAAACCACTTGTACATAAGGAAAGTGTCAGGGTCCTTTGCTTTATTTATATTTTTCTACTTTCACGTAAATTTTCTCTTTAAAAATCAATACGTAAATAATATATAAAAACAAATAATATGTATGTTTATACAAGATACTGATTTGTATTTATTTTCAGGATATAGTCGAACTTGAAAAGGCCACTACATCAAAGGAACCTTTAAGTAAACAAAAAATTCACCGTAAAGTGTTAGATAAAGGATTACCGGAAGATGTCATGCCTGGATTAAAAAATATTAAGGTTTATTATAGGTTAAGATAACAAAGGCATAGGTGCTGACTTGAGTCATTTATTTAAAATGTTTTGGTTACAACATCCATTTTTTAAGCAGGAAAAATGAAGTCCTGTAACATCGACCTGGTGTCCAAATATTTTTAAAATTTAAACTTTAAATAGGTAATATAAGGGCCATTTTTCTCGTTATGTGGCTAGTTTAAACTACTCTTGATGTGTTCTCATTGATGATAGTCCCATAGGACTGAAACATTCTGAAACTTAATCCTTTTTGGATAATTTTAAATTTGCTTAATAAATATGTACCATTTTACACTAGAAGTTTGTACTTCATTGTGAGTTTTTTACATTAACCATTTTGTAATCAATCACCAAAATGTTGCTCAGTATTCTATCACAAAACATTTTCTTTCGATAATATTAATTGTGTTCAAATTCTGTCTACAAAATACACATATAACTAGTTATAGTACTATAATAATTGAAGGTGTTAGAATACAAAGGGTATAAGTACTAATTCCAATATATTGAGTAAACTGGCTTTAAACTTAATTTGCTATAGTAAAATGTACAATTAAAAAAACTTTACAATTTTGATAAAGAAGGTAAATATAAGACAAATTATATTTTCTGTCATTAGTAGTTTAAAAATTTAAAACTTTTTTTCCATAAAAAATGAAAAAAAGTTACCTGTACCCATTGTATTCCAGCATTATTTCAGCACTATAGATCTAATCAAAGAAATTATCTATAGGCTATTATATACTGTATTCACATAATAACACATATTTTACTATACACTCTCATAATCAGAGTCAATTATGATACTATCATCCATATCAGTCTGAATCTGATTCATGCTCTACCCTGGAAGTTAAAGCTGTCATATTATCAGACTTTCGAGTTGTAGACTCTCTTGCTTTCGTCTCTTTCTTTTTTTTTTGTTCCTTATGAGGCAGATCCTTGTAAAACTGATGACATACAGGTGGTATATAGTTTAGTAATGTTTTGAGATCCTTCCACTTTGACGTGGTAATCATTATCTCGTCGATATTTGTGGACAATATATTCTCTAATTTAAGGGAAAGTCGACCTCTTGGTGAAACAAATATCCATTTAGAAAACGGAAAATCCTCTCGAAGAGTATGTTTAAATTGAAGTGAAAATATTGCAGCATCTTTAGAATATTTAAAGTGGTTTATCTCTCTAAAATGTAGGGGCTTTTTTGCCACATCTAGTTTTGAATTGTTTAGTAGAGTATTTAATTTTTGAAATGTAAAAAACATTTGTTGAGTCATTTTATGCACAACAAACCTCCTTACACATGATTTTATAACGGAAGTCCAATGTTGTGGGATAAATACTTGTGGATTTTTTGTTTTGGCTTGTTCAATAAGAGCAAATGCACGATCACATTCCATATATGTGTGTCCAGGTTCTAAAATTTATGGTGGATTTCGTCCTATGCCAGGTGCTGAAAAAAAACTGGGAATTCAACCGCGATGTACACCAAATCTTCGCGGACTTTAAATAAGCTTACGATTATGTTAGCAGAGAAGCATTGTGGAGATCATAGTAGAAATGGAAGTACCTGGAAAGCTGGTACGATTAGCACAGGTGAGCACAGAGAACGCTTCCGCACGGATCAGAATTGACAACACCACGTCGGAAGAATTCCTCATTGACACCGGGCTTAGACAAGGAGATCCTCTCGCCCCTGCTGGAAAGCTCAACCATAACTGACAAACGGATTTGCCGCCCAAGGATCAAAAATACTATTGGCGTTTGCGGATGACGTGGACACCAGAGGTGCCAATTCGAAAACGGAGCCAAGGAAATGGTCTGAAGGTCAACGAGGACATGACCAAGTACATGTAGGTTACTAAAAACCCAAGACCAAGGATTAGACAAAATGTAACAATCAATGAATACAACTTTAAAGTCGTCAAACAATTCAAGTACCTGGGAGCGATCATAACATCTGAAAATAAATATGAAAATGACGTGACAACCAGTATCATTGCAGGAAACAGGACATTACTCATTACTGACCGTACTTAAATCAAAAATACTCTCAATACCAGCAAAAATAAGAGTGTATAAGGCAATAATTCGTCCCATAATAACGTATCGAAGCTATACATGGTCTCTGAACCAGCGGGAAACGACAAAATTACTGATACTGGAAAGAAAGATACTGCGAACTATCTATGGGCCTTGCGGAGAAGAGACAACAGGAGAATGGAGAAGAAGATACAATGATGAACTCCAGACAGTATATGGAGATGAAAACATAGTATGCTACATTAAAGCAAACCGAATAAGATGGCCACGGGCCACGTGCTAAGATCGAGTGACGAAAGACTCCTGAACGCCACATTCTGGGAAAGACCCGATGGCAGAAGGTCAGTTGATCGCCCAAGAAAGAGATGGATGGACGCAGTAGCCTGTAATCTACGCAAATGTTATTTTAATCATATATCCATAATTTTTACTTTAGTCATTTGTTTCTTACCCATTGTGTTTCTTGACACAGATGATAAGTGCCTAATTTTTTCAGAATTGTGTATTTGGTGTATGCAGCATCTTTTTTATCATTATTTAATTGCTTGGTACATAGTATGTTGTCATCCATTTACGTAGTGAAAGTCAGCACCTATGATCCAAATATACAAAATATTAACCCTATAATATTACAGGAAGGATTGCCACCAGTACCTTTATCAGGTATGTTAAATAAACATGGGGGAAAAGTTAGATTAACATTTAAATTAGAAAGTGACCAGTTATGGTTAAGTACTAAAGAGAGAACTGAAAAATTACCTATGGGGTCAATTAAAAGTGTGATATCTGAACCAATTGAAGAACATGATGAATATCATATACTGGTAAGTAAGTGAGAAACTTTATTTCCTAAACTAGTAAGTGAGAAACTAAATTTAACCAACTTGAAGTTGGTTAAATTTTTTGAAAACGCTTCGTTATCTCTAAAATTTAAACTTTCTAGTAAAAGCCCAAATAAACGCTTTAGCTGCGTTGTCAAAGAAACGCTTTTAAAATACTAGCAATACAATTATAAAGTTTGATAAACTGCACCCTTTCTTCTGAAGAAGCCACTTACAAGTGTAGCGAAATATTGAGATAGGCCCAAACACACTCAAGAATTTACATAGAATATAATATTTATTAGAATCCATCTTAGAAAAAAATATTTTTTAATAATTATTTCCATTCGACATATTATTCACTTCATCATAGACAGAATGAACAAGATCTTTTACAAAGGAAGCACTAAGCTTCTCAATCATGGAACATTCCGAATTTCGTTATCTGTCAGATGTGACCCCTGTCCATCGAGCAAAAAGACAATAGAGGGAATGTAAAGGTAGTGGGGGCAAACATATTGTTAGACAGGAAGTGCGATCTTTAGAGGCCACATTAAACAAGGAAAGAGAGTCTCTCTCGTTGTTTGACATCAAATTTAGTTGGGTTATGTTATTGTTTGTCCCAAATGTCACATGAAATCTTATTTATATTGAAGTTTTTTAACAATTGTGTCGCATTTTATACTCTTTCATTAATAATTAATTAAAACTTTCTCGTCTAAGACACATTCTGAAAAATATTATATAGCTACTGTTGATAAGTGTCGGAAAATTTAAATTTCGCGCATTCGCATCTCACTGCCTCTCTCTTCTTGTGGTGTATATTCCACATACTGTTCTTGTAACCATAACTTATAACCTGTGATGTGAACAAAAACGAAACTGATTGTTCTGTCAAAACCCGAATCTAAGAGCATAAAAGATACAATAAAAGACCAAATGGCACGTTACTGAACATTCAATATTATTTATAAAAATTCATATTCTTTCTAAAAATCGCTACTTTCTTTTCCTCCACCTGGAACCTAACTCATCGTTTTCCAAAACGCGCGAACAAATTCTATAATGTTGTAACAATACACCCCACTAGTTAAATGCACACAACAGATTCACGGTTCGCCTCTGCATATATTGAGTAATTGAGTTACTTTACGTAAATCCCTCATTAAAGTCTGGTTTTTTATTAGTCTCTCTGGTAGAAGGTTTTCGCTTGTATTACGTTGAGTACTTGGGTTACCGTAACCAACAGCCCCCCTCGTTAAGAATCTACCTACTTGTGTTGCGAAGCATTGAATTGGACATATGGGTCATCCAGAAAAGACCAAATCTGGTAGACAATTAGTTTATTTTGACAAGCCAAAAGGTTAAATAAAGAATTGATTTTATAATACTGGCTTATTTCCAAGAAGATGTTTGATAAAAATTGCGTGTTCTTAAATTTTCTTTAATTTTTTAGGGTTTACAGTTAGGACCTACAGAAGCATCACGGTATTGGATATACTGGGTACCAGCCCAGTACATAGATGCTATCAAGGATGCCGTACTCGGAAAATGGCAATACTTCTGATTCACAAGTGAAACAATTTAAGTGTGAGAAATCGTATGTCCAAGTGGTATTCGAAAAATACTTGCAATGTGAATATATTGAGTGTCTCTGAAACCAACAAATTTTGTTCTAATACAAATTATTGTAACTAGATTTTATAATTTTATACATTTATAATTTGCTTAATATCGATAAAGTTGTGTTCGGTTTTGCCCTTTCTGTGTTTCTCCAATTCTCGAGACAAAAATTACTTGTAGGTATTTATCTCTTACATTATGTTGATTCTTTGTTAAGCATCTATTTTAATAAATTGTTTTGTCATACAGAGAAACTTTATTATACTACTTTATTACTCTGTGGTTGATTAAACACTTGATACGTTTATTGGCATAAAGACAAGTGAAGAGCCCAAAAGACGTAAAAATTAAACTTTTGAAGGACACTAAAAATTTTGTACAATGCTCAAAACACACTTGCAAATTTATCAGCACTTTGTTAAGTTTGGTGAAAAATTAACCTATTGGGACAAAACGGTACAAAATACGTCATATTTAAGACAAAAAATACATGACGGTCACAGCCGTCTTGTTCGATTATAGTTATATAAATGGTCTTATCGGACGAGACGGTCATAGCCGTCCTATTAAATGTTCAAAATTCAGTAATATAACGAATACAAGCACAACCCATACTATAAGAAATTGTGAAAAACAAAATAAAAAATCTTATTTGCTAGTCTAAGTCCTGGTGCCACTTTTGAAAACATAATCCAGGACATAATGGTAACGACATCGATAATAATAATTCTTGCGTCTATACCACCCTTTAGGTACAGGAATCATTTCTTGATAATGAGGGTGCCTAATTTGTTCACCATTCCTCCGAGTTTCCATTTCCTTACGTTTACCTCCATGTATAGAACCCACTTTTACATAAGTCCTGCCGTCAGTCTGGTGAAGAGGTACATCAATAAAACTTTTTATAAGATAATTTCTAAAATCTAAGCTACTCATACATCGTACTTGGCGGTCTTCTTTTCCCTTTTGATAAATAAAGTAGGCATTGGCAATTGTTACGTCCAACAAATGAAACCAACACTTTCTTTATATCAGCGCAGCGAATGGTCCTTCGTGGGCATCAGTAATATTAAATTAGTTGATCGTTCTATCAACGCCAGTCATATCGTTATTATATTCAGTTATATCTTTTGGTTTTACTTTGAGCTGGTTAAATCTGTTGGTTGTTTCTATCAATATCGGATGGTAACGAGTGGATATACTACAGACATCTCACTTATCCATCCATTTTGATACATAAACACGGTCTTGTCTCAATGAATCGTCGCCCATTCATTGTTGCAGGATGAAATATAGGATGATAGTATAATGGATCATACGTAAAAAGTTTTCTTATAGATGGCATTTTTATTTGCTCTTGCAACATACATAGACCCAAAATTCTTTGGAATATTTTTGATATTTGGAATATAATCATCTGAACTTTCGCTATTTCCAAACATATTAGCATTTTGTTTCTGATTACCTCCATCACTATCATCAGAACTGCCACTACTTTCTGATAAATGCAGATGAGTTAGTTTTTTCCTAAATTTCATTTTTTGTTTTTTTAACTTATTTATTCTGCAATTATTGTGCTAACTAGGATCCACCTTTGCAATCATGAACGAAAATAGGGAATTACAGTCGTAATATTCCTATCGAGTGTTGCCGTCCACCGATTTCATACCACTTCCCCACAAAGTTAGAAGTATTTTTATAGGGCTTAACTTACATCGGTCAAACTGTTAGAAACTTTGATAAACGAATAGCAGAACATAAAAGGGCTTTCAAGAATAGAAGAACAGATTCGACATACGCACTTCACCTTCTAGATCATAATCATTCTTTTAATGACAAATTTAAAATTCTTCACATTCAAAATAAAGGCCTTAAGCTATCTTCGTTAGGATCTATGGAAATCAACAAATTAAAAAACACAGATATAATTCTGAATGACCAACTTGCGACAAACAGTTCTCCCCTCCTCAACCTATTTCATTAGAGACTATAAATTTGTAAACCCAAGCCAAAAATAGATCACTTGAGAAAGGCAATCAGCCGAAACAGCTGTAGTGATAAGATTTAAAATAAATTTTGTGGAAGTTTGAAAACAAAGTTTTCAGTGTTTTATTGTTACATAAAATGAATTTCCATCAAGTAACGGTCGAATCCATCAATTATTTGTATTAATATGTCTATGAGAGTCTCATGTGAGAACAACGCGTTTTCATCGTTGAATACTATTTAAACATGAACTATTTTAACATTGAAAGTTTGGCGGCCACAGTTAGAAAATAGTGTACAAAATATGGCCGGAATATTGATTTAACTTCGTCAACTGTGAAGACAGTAATTGAAAAATTCAGGGAGACTGGATCAATTGGTGATTCTAAATACACTAGTCATCCAAAAACAAACCGTTCAAATGTCAATATTGAAGCAGTGCGTGAAAAGAACTAAAGCCTAGTGACCATGCATGACGAAGAGAGTTTGTTGAATGGATTAATGAACATCAACAATTATTGGATGCTGATTTTTCGAGCCAAATCATCCTAATCAATGAAGCATATTTTCACCTTAATGGCTTTGTTAATCGTCCAAACTGCCGCATTTTTTATTCTGAGAAACCATGTGCTTGTCGAAAAAAAAAAATGCATCTACAACGTGTCACTGTTTAGTACGGATTTTGGTCTGGAAATATCATTGGATCATGAGTTCTCTATGAGTTTCAACAAAGCGGTGCCACATGTCGTACAGTCTGAAATAATTCTTCAATTCCTACATGACACATTTCCTGGTAGTGTACCCTCACGTTTCGATGATCAGAATTAGCTCCCTCGATGTGTGATTTAACGCAAATTGGGTTTTTTATGGAGTTATTTGAAGTCAAAGGTCTAAGCCAACAAGTTTACAACCAGTCGTGCAATGAGGAGAAAATTCAACGCTGAATCCACGAAATTTAGCCACATTTACACAAAATTTCCAAGGAAACTTTCAACAAATGTGAAGCAAGACCGTGAAAGCCATTTGCCTGATGTGCTATTCCATACATTATCCTATGTACTTTATGATTCAATAAAAAATTACAATCTAAACAACACAAACAGTGTTATCTATTCAATTAAAAGTTTGCATAAATTTTGGGACACCCTATAGAATACAAGAGAAAATTAGTTAAGTAGGTAAATTTGTTTATTAATCACATATTTCTAAAAAAGAACGAATTCTTGTACATGAACGTTGTAAAATAATTATATATTTAACAAATGAATAGTTCTTGGAAGCATTTTGCTAGATTTCCAAATTACTTGTTTTGAACGCTTCCTTCTTTACTAACTTCACTCTCTTCGTCGTCCAGGGCTTCTAGTCGAATTTTAACAGAACTTAAATCAGGTATCTGAAAATATCAGATTGTTGAGTTAGTATTTTCTAAAATTATTTTTACATTATCTTTACATAAAAACTAAAAGTCATCGTGACATGATGAGATAAGCTCTTCTGTTTAAGATTATTAAACCTTGAATAGAAGATATGTAACACTGCTTGGGATGATAATTCTGCATCCATTAATTTACGACCATACTACGTCACTTAAACGTAGACACAACGTGTCTAGGAGTTTTCCGTATACCAACCTCTTTTATTTAAGTTAGTTCAGGTCGACTGTGATTGGACCACCCTGTATAATTGTAATCACGTTTAGTTCTTAGTAGGCATACACAAATTAGCCAATTATATAGTAGCGTCAAATACTTCAGAATTTCAATCAGAATAAAGATACAACAAGCCAAAGAAACCTGGCTAAGTGAAAGATGCCAAGAAATTGAAGAATTGGAACAAAGACATGATACTTTCAACCTACATAAAAATGTAAAAGAAGCCGCTGGAATATTTAAACAAATTCCTACGTCTTTCATCGAAGATAAATATGGGAATCCGCTGCAAGACCGAGAGAGGACGAACATTTACATGCAGGAGGCATCGACTTGACCTTATATCACAAAGCAAGAAATTATGAAAGCGGCAAATCAGATAAAGAACGGAAAAGCTGTTGGGGAAGATAATAGCCCAATTGAAATAATATAATATAAGATATTACTAGATGAACACATTAACAAAATATACGAAACAGGCATAATACCAAATGAATGGCTGACATCGGTGTTTATACCACTACCAAAGAAGAGAAACTCCAAGAAATGTGAAGACCATAGGATTATTAGCCTGATGAATCATATGTTAAAGCTTTTCCTACGAGTAATACACAATAGAGTATACAATAAACTAGACGAACACACTGGTCAAACTCAGTTTGGTTTTAAGAATGGGTTCGGAACAAGAGAAGCACTTTTTTCAATACGTGTGCTAGTTGAAAGATGTAGAGATGTCGATTCTGATGTATACTTGTGTTTTATAGACTTTCAGAAGGCGTTTGACCTGGTGAAACATGATAAACTAATAGATATTTGAAGGTCATGTAATATCGACGATAAAGACTTAAGGATCATTTCAAACCTCTACCAAGAACAAAAGGCTAAAATCAGAATAAAAAGCGAAACATCTGGAAAAATTAATATCGAGAAGGGAGTAAGACAGGGATGTGTCCTATCACCTTTGCTGTTCAATGTTTACTCTGAGAAGATATTTCAGAAAGCTTTGGAAGGCACCTCGGATGGTATAATTATAAACGGGCAATGTATAAATAACCTGCGATATGCTGATGAAACTGTCATACTGGCAGATAATGCTGAAGCCCTGCAACGCTTAATGGACCGAGTAACGACAGCCTGTAGAGAATTTGGAATGAAATTGAATACAAAGAAGACAAAAACGATGATCATCAGCAAGCACCAAAACAGAAGGGTGAAGGTTAATGTCCACGGAACAGATCTGGAAAGAGTAACAAGAGCAACGTACCTTGGAAGTAATCTTGATTAAACTTGGATAGAATACATAAGTGCTATATTTTCTAAACCTTGCTCTATGGTGTTGAAGCCTGGACAATGACAGAAGCAACACAAAAAAGAATCCAAGCATTCTCTGGTGTTACCGTAAAATGCTCAGAATATTCTACATGAGCCATACGACAAATGCGGAAGTCTTGCGGAGGATGAATAAGGAAAGAGAGCTTATGCTTATAATAAAAGAACGGAAAGCACAATATTTTGGTCACATCATAAGAAATCAAAAGTATGAACTGCTCCAACTTACAATCGAAGGCAAAGTCAATAGAAAAAGAGGACCAGGAAGAAGAAGAAGACGCAACTCTTGGCTTAAAAACCTACGGCAATGGACGAACATGACCTCCATCAAACTATTCAGGCTGCTGCAAATAAGATTAAATGGGCAAATGTAATGGCCAACGTCCTTAAGGATAAGGCACCGTAAGAAGAAGTCAAATACTTTGGTCAGCGACAGATCCAACAAGGGCGATGGCCCGCCTCTCAAACCAAGTGGGTTTATTTTTTTGTTTGATCACGCATACAAGATTATAATAATAATCATTTTTTTAAGTCAATAATTATACATTTTTTTGAAATTACACTCTATACCCGGTTCGCTATTCCCAGTCCGAACTGTCTAGTGATTTTAGTAATTATTTTTTTTCGAAGTTACTAACTTTTTGACAGACTCGAAGTGGCTGGAAAATACTATACAACCAAGCATACGTGCTCTTAGTCAATATTAATGTAAACAAAAGTAAATAAAATAGAACTTTGCCGACAATCAATATTTATTTATTTACACCGTATAATGTATTGATAACAAATAATAAAATTATTTATTGTACAAAATAAAAAAAGTGGGAATAAATTATACAAAATTAAAAAGTCAAAGTGAGGTTAAATAAGACACAGCAAGTTCCTTATGTTGTGACTAGGATGGAATCAATGATTAAAGATTAACAGTTCATTGGATAGCATTAACATAAACTGTTGTTTTATTATCTTACAAAATAAGTGTACTTCCATATGCTAAAAGCAAATATTAGTAATTTGACTAGGCAAATTCGTGGTTCAATAGTAATTTTTGCTCATTAGCATTTGAGGATGTTAAAATCTTCCATATATGGTGAATGAATTCAGTGTCCTGGCCGCAGTCTGCAGTCATATAAACCCAAACAAACAACAAAAACCTCCATGTAAGTATAAACAAGTTTATATTAAATTAGAAACAACTAATCTAAAAATATTAACTTTTAAAAAACATTTTATCATATTTATTAAGAAAAACTTACCAACGCATTAGCTGATGGAACAAATGGAAATCTTTGACTATCCATAATAATAAAATTTAAAATATAACTAACTAATTAACTGAATAGAACTAACAAAAGAATTAAACAAAGATAATAAAACAATAAAACTATATTAAATTAAATAAACAACGCGAATAATACAAATATTTACTACAATATTTTAAATTGCAACAATTCAAATATTATATTTTAAATATACAGGGAAAATTTAATGGGTTTAGTATACACTTCCACTATTTAGAATAATTCTTCTTTTTTTCAAAGAAAGAAGTCTGCAATAGTAGTATACTTGAGCTATTAATACTGAGAAGTAGGGATTGTTGTGTTGTAGGTTTCCGACAATGAGTCTGTCAAAATATGCCCTAGCTAAGCGAATAGACTTTATGAATTATGTAAATAGACTTTATTACTATGGGACCTTTCCCGGTGAGCCGGTAGGCTAAAACGGGCTGGTATATAGTAGATGACCGATATACAACGATCGGCCGTGTCTCTTAACATTGCTGTATCCGCCGCTGACTTTGGTACAGTCCAAAAGTAATAGTAGATGGAAACGGCTATCTTTCTGGCTATCACAAACTCTTCAATTTTTTCAAAACCATTTTCAAGCTTGGTATTTTTTAATGAAAGCTTAACCTTTACATACCTTAACATTTTCAATAGAATTTATTCCTGGATTTTTGCTAAAAGATATTTCTTCACCAGTACTGCATAAAATACAGTCTTTAGAAGCTTTTAGGGACGTGTACAACGCCAACCTTTCTCTGGACAACAAAATTTTCTCTTCCGCCAATTTCTTTTCTCTGCTACAAAGTAAAGCCCATTGTGTTTGTAACTCCTTCAATTTCTCTTTGTATGTAGTTTCCATTCGTTTAGCTTCTACGAGAACCTGTTTGTCCTCTTTCAGTTTTTTGTGGGAGTCTTGCATTAGAAATTCCAGTTCAGCCTCTTTATCCTCGAGTTCCCTTTCTCTTTCTGTTAGATTTTGTTTTAGTGCTGCCATCTCACATTTTTGGCGCTGTAATAGATTTCTTTCTTGATTCAGTCTGTCAGTTAAATTTTTGGCTTCCGAAATTGCTGTTTCGGCTTCTGCTTTGGCACGTTCTACCTCATATGAATTAACTAGTTTAGTGGAAGTTTCAAATTTGGCTTTTTCTGAAGCTAGTTGTAGTTTTTCTTCAGTTACTTGCATTAACAGTCTTTCTTGTTCGGTCAACAAAGATTCTTTTAAAGTCTGAAACAAATAAGATACTGATAAATTGATTTTTGATAAAACTTACATATTTCTGTTAAAGCGATATTATTTAACCCAAATTATTTAATTGTTAGTGTCTTCTAATGAGTCATAGAGAGTAACATTCATAAGAGGGTGGAGTGTGCGTCATATAACAGGAAACCAAGCTTAGAGAAGACAGAAATTTGCTATATTGATCGCCAAAGTCAATCGAGAAGTCACTTAAAGGAGTAGGAACTCGAAAGAGACATTACTAAATATAATTACAGCTATGTCGAGAAAGAGAGAGCATGTAGCTAAGGAAACCGAAATAGCAAACTAAGAAGCATTGGTATATATAAAATATGCCTAACCAATCAAAAACAAAACTACTTTTAATGTAACATTCCGCAACAAGCGTCCGAGACAGGCGAAACCGATTGTAGTCTTCCCATGTCTACTCTAAATGCAATTAACGACAGTTCACTTGGTGTTCCGTTGTCGAATCTTCATGAGTGTATCTGTCGCCTGTTTTAGTCTTTTGGTGTGGAACGCTACCACAAAAACGCAACGACAAAAATCTTAAGAAAACATTAAAAGGAATACACTTCAGTAAAATACCTGCATGCTGATACAAGAATCTGAAAAAATAACAGCATATTACAGAAGATAGAAGCAAAAAAAGTTATACCATTTACCTTAAGTTGTTCCCTTTCTCTTTCTATAAGATTCCTGCTGTACTCAGCTTCTCTTTCAAGAGCCTTACTTCGAGCTATTAAAGTAGCGGATGCCTGCTGTAAAGCCCATCGATCCTCTTGAGCGTTAGTACTTTGCTCTGCTAATTTCAATTCTAAGTTTCTGACCAAAGAGAGAAGGTGAGCTCGTTCATTTTCCGCAGATTCTCGACACTTTTCTAGAGTTTTTTTTCATTACTAGAATATTAAGTATATCATAACAAAAAACTTATAAACTGCTTATTCTAAATAAGTAAATGCGAATAAATATAAAGTATGTAAAAGGTGCCTATAATCCACGTCTATTTTCGTGGTTCTAAAGGATAATTAGTTGAGGAAATGAAACAATGAACCTTCGAATATTGGCGCAGTAAGACGGATTGAGATGCCGTTTGATGCATTCGATTCGTAAGAGCGTCAAGAAATTTTGTGAACTAATGCGATCAAGAAGAAATGAAAAATTGCATTTGTGCATATGACAAATGCATTTGGAAATGCATTTTACAGAATTGCAAATTTAAAAAAAATTAAATCAGCAAATATTGAATAAAATGAACCTGAACACGAATATCATGTTTGTGAAAGTCACCGGGCACTGGATTCCAAAAATCCAGGTTCAAAGATTTTGTTTACTGGAATTTAATTTTTTTTTAAATTGACCTTTTTATAGTAAAGTTGGTAGGACTGTAATTATTAACCGTAATAGTCTAAAATGCGACACAATTGTTAAAAAACTTCAATATAAATAAAATTTCATGTGACATTTGGGACAAACAATAACATAACCCAACTAAATTTGATTTCAAACAAGGAGGGATACTCTCTTTCCTTGTTTAATGTGGCCTCTAAAGATCGCACTTCATGTCTAACAATATTTCTGCCTCCACTACCTTTACATTCCCTCTTTTGTCTTTTTGCTCGATGAATTCAGGTAAGGAGTTCGTTACCTAATGTCACTGTCACTTCAATCGTTAATTTTACATAAACTATTGGGTCAAATCATCAGTTTGCTTTCACACATATACAGGGTGAATCATGAGGAACTTTACATACTTCTACCGTAGAGTCCCTCAGGGAGCATATCATGTAGCCACTAAAAAATGTCAACTCCTCTTCTTTATGAATTAACAAGGTGATTTGTGTAATTGACCATTTATTTCATTTTACTGTAGTGTTTATACGACTCATTTGATTTTTTTAATTTTTGCATGATACAGTACACTACTATCAAGCATTCGACTGGTATTAGTTAAACTAAAAAATTCCAGGACTGGCTTTGGAAAAATTAATTTAGGGATTCGTATTAAATATTACACCCGTATATATATTTTTTAAATGCAATAAGTTATTTTCAAACTACATAAATAGCCAATGAAAACGACATATGCAACAATGTTGTCGCACTTTTATTAAATTTTTAGTGAACGATCAAATCTTACCAAAAATAGAACAACCATAATGAAGTATCAAATTATAAGGTAATTAATTTAAACAAATGTTATAAATTTCAAACATTTTAATTGAAATGATAAACTGAGTCACTGCACAACAAAAAACAGTAACTACTAACAATAACGAAGAACCATTAAAAAAAACTAAAAATATGTACATAGTTATGATAAACCCATAAATTAGAACTGGAAAAGATACAATAATGGTAACAAAATAAAAATAATTCAAAATAGATTTTGGAAATGGAACCCTGCAGCCTGTACACATTTTTGTTGCCGAATTGTTAATTGACGTATTGAAGTACGGATACTCTGAGGATCGTTTCTAATAGTATTACAACAATGTATAATTCTATCAATTAATTGTTGTCGGTTATTAATATTCACTGCGTAAATTAGTTGCTTCAATCGTCCCCAAATATGGTAATCAACGGGATTGAAATCAGGGGATCTTGAAGGCCACGAAATGGGACCTGCACGTTCTATCCACTTGTTGCCATAAACATTATTGAGATGTTGTCTCACTGCCAGTAAAAAGTGTGGGGGTGCCCCATCATGCTGAAAATACATCCCTCGGATAGCAACGTTCGCGTTGGCAAGCAAATTCGGCAAAATATTTTGTAGAAAGTTCAAATAGACCTGCCCTATTAAAGGACCATCAAAAAAGTGAGGACCTACTAATTGGTTATTTATGACACCAATCCATAGGTTAACCGAAAACCTTAACTGAGAACGACGTTCTCGAATAGCATGGGGATTTTCTTCTGCCCACACATGTGAATTTCGTGAATTATTTATCCCGTCTCTGGTAAATTGGGCTTTATCTATAAATAGTGTCCTGTATAGCGTTGGTCGATTATTGTTAATCCATCTACAAAATTCCAACCTATCGATCTCATCTCCAGCATGTAGTCGCTGAACCATTTGAATGTGATATGGGTATAGATTATTTTTTTGTAAGACTACTTACTTTTGATTGAGTAACATTGAGTTCTCGACTTACTTGTTTAGTGCTTATTGTAGGGTTTATAGTAACGGCGTCCATAATGTCATCTTCCTGCGCTTCATCTACATGTCGCTCTGTTGTTCCACTAGGAACAGTGCCATTTTCTCGCAAATAATTAAAAACTGACCCAAATGTTGGATGACTGGGAGTTCGACGATTAGGAAATCTCCTGCGATATTCTCTACCAGCAGCCCTACCATTCCCATTACAGAATCCATAAACAAATATTATGTCTGCATATTCTGTGGTCGAAAACTGATGTGGCATTTTGAACGAAAGTAACAAAAGCTCTACCAAAACTAACACAATGTACTTAACGGAGATATGACAGAAGAAATATGTATTCTTGTACACATAAATAACAATTAATAATGACAATGGGTATAAAATATCAAGAAACGTCAAACGGTCAACGCCAACCTTCATTTTAAACTTTTTAGATTTATTTTTATTTAGTACAGTTGATGCAATGTATTATTATTTGACATAAAATTTTAATCATTTACAATCAACAAAAACTAACACATACAAGAGGTTTGACTTTTTAATCAATTTAATTTATTATTTATCGAAAATAATGCCCCAATACGATCTATGAGTAAAAATTTAAAATTGAAAAACAATTGATTCTATCGTAGAAATAATACAAAGTGACAGTAAAGATGTTAATTTTCTACGTATTAGATTATGTTGTAGGAACTCATTTTAATTAAAATGTTTGAAATTTATAACATTTGTTTAAATTAATACCTTATAATTTGATACTTCATTATGGTTGTTCTATTTTTGGTAAGATTTGATCGTTCACTAAAAATTTAATAAAAGTGCGACAACATTGTCGCATATGTCGTTTTCATTGGCTATTTATGTAGTTTGAAAATCACTTATTGCATTTTAAAAAATATATATACAGGGTGTAATATTTAATACGAATCCCTAAATTAATTTTTCCAAAGCCAGTCCTGGAATTTTTTAGTTTAGCTAATACCAGTCGAATGCTTGATAGTAGTGTACTGTATCATGCAAAAATTTAAAAAATCAAATGAGCCGTATAAACACTACAGTAAACATATAGTGGCCACATGATATGCTCCCTGAGGGACTCTACATATGGTAGAAGTATGTAAAGTTCCTCATGACTCACCCTGTATAAACTTTTCACAATAATTATCAAAAAAAGACTGGACGCTATCAGCCTAGAGAACAAGCTGGATGTAGATCAGGATGTAGCACTAAGGACAACTTACTAGTGATAAAGAACCTGATACAGAAGTCTACAGAATACAACAAACCATTGGCACTGATATTTGTCGACTACGAGAAACCATTCGATACCATAAGCCATCAGTAAATATTAAAAGCAGTGACAGAATGCCTAATAGACCATCGCTACAGTAACATAATTAAATATATCTACCAAAATGTCAACAACAAATAATTGTAACAACTACAGGCTATTAGCTCTAATATCACACGCCAGTAAGGTGATCCTCTACATACTGCAACGGCGTCTAGAAAACTTCATAAGTTGGCAAATAGCACCTGAGCAGGCTGGATTTGTAAAGAGCAGAGCTACTAGAGAACAAATCCTTAATGTACGAAACATCATAGAAAAAGCCAGAGAATACCAGATCCCGTTATTTATATGTTTCCTCGATTATACAAAGGCCTTTGATAATGTTAGATGGGACAAACTATGGAACATATTGACGACAATGGGTGTACCTAAACACTTGACTCACCTTATTAGCAAACTGTATCAAGATAACCTGGCATATATTCGAATGGACGGATATCTGTCTGACAAATGCACTTTGGAGAAGGGAGTACGCCAAGGATGCGTTTTATCTCCCTTATTATTTAACATCTATTCGGAGTTCATAATGCGCATAGTTTTGGATGGTTGGGAGGGAGGAGTAGACCTAGGTGGTGTTAAGATATCTAACTTGCGTTTCGCAGACGACACTACACTTCTACCCTCTACTCCAGAAGAAATTATTAAATTATTAAAAAAACTCGAGGTAGAAAGTGCTAAATTTGGACTCATGGTTAACTACAACAAAACCAAAATCATGGTTATTGATCGCCAACAACAGTTTCCTGAAACCCAAACTATTGCGGGATGCGAGGTAGTCTTATCTATGATATATCTTGGAGCTCTAATTAACAACACAGGCAGTTGTGAATCCGAAATTAGAAGACGCATTCAACTAGCAAGAGCAGCAATGAGTGAACTAAACGGGGTCTGGCGTGATCGTCACATTACTATGACAAACAAAAAGAGACTCTGGTCTTTTTCATATTTTACTATGCATGCGAGACATGGACAGTCAAAGAATCAGATCGACGACGTATAGACGCCTTTGAAATGTGGACATGGAGACGCCTGCTTCGAATTCCATGGACGGCTCGCCGTACAAATATCTCTGTTCTGGATGAAATTAAACCGGATCAGCGTCTCTCCAGTACCGTTTACTCTAGAATCTTAAAGTTCTTTGGCCATATCCATCGAAGTGATCACAAAATGGAGCGGTTGGTGGTCCAAGGAAGGCCTCAGACTCAACACCAACGCGGAAGATCACAGCGATGGGCGGACATTACTAAAAAGCTTCTCAATAAACAGTATACTGAGGCAATACATATAACTGATGACCGCGACCAGTGGAGAAATATTATCAATCAAACTGTCCGAGCTGCTGAAGCCCAATTATGAACCACAACACATCTACTAAGATGTTAATGACTGTGATGATGACCAAACTCAGCTAGCGTAAGACTATCTGAAGAAGAAACAAATAAATTATATATACAGCAAGGAGTACGTCTTAGTGCTCTGCGAGTAAGTCAAATATTTGGGCCTTCATCTTGATCAAAAGTTAAAGAGAAGACAGATACAATAAAGACAGTTTAACAAATGAACTGACTTTATAGGCAAAAATAAAAATTGATACTGAGAACAAGGCACAAGCTAATAATATACAAAACTATTTTGCGCATGAGCACGAAATAAGAAAAGAATGACAGCTGTATATATCAGAGTTGTTTGAAGATGACAGGAATAATATTGTCAAATTTTACCAAAAGTGTACTGACGGCTCAGAAATTATAAAATGTGAGGTACAACACGCTATAAATATAATGGTAAAATTGGAAAAGCTTGTGGTCCAGACGATACACCAACAAATTTGCTGAAACTAAAAGAGAATGATAACATAAAAATAGTATTGTTCTGAAGCTATTTTCTTGTGGCATTGTAAATTAATTACTATTAATCTGGGAAAGGGTAACAATTAAAGATAAAAATACGTTTATTGACGTTTCAATTTCCACTTCGGAAATCGTTCTCAAAATACAAACCTATTTTTTGTATTTTGAGAACGATTTCCGAAGTGGAAATTGAAACGTCAATAAACGTATTTTTATCTTTAATTGTGGCTTATTCCCAGTTTAATAGTAATGAATAAAAATAGTAGTAATACTTTTTAATTCAATATATAACACCGGAGTGATTCCCACAGATTGGCTCAAATCCATCTTTGTCGCAATACCTAAAAAAACAAAATGCGAGAAAATGCTCATAATATCGATTAATTAACCTAATGAGCCACACTCTTAAACTTTTCCCAAGAATATTTCACAACAGAATTAGACGCAAATGCGAAGAAGATCTGGAAGATACCCAATTAGGTTTTAGAAATGCTATGGGAACCAGGGAGGCACTTTTTGAGCTTAACATATTATTAAAAAAATACCGTGACCAAAGAAAAAATGCATTTGCATGTTTCGTGAACTTCGAAAAGGCATTCGATAAGGTACAGCATGTAAAATTAATGCAAATACTGAAAAATATCGGAATAGATGAAAAGGATATTCGTGTCATTAAAAATTTGTACTGGAATCAAACTGCTATCGTAAAAATTGGAGATAACTACACCGATGAAATCTCTATACAACGAAGAGTCAGACAAGGTTGCATTTTAAAAAGGCACTTAAGAGACAACCATATGGAATAAAAATCAAAGGGGAACTACTTAATGTAATTAGATATGCAGACGATACAGTAATGCTATCAGATAATATTGAAGATCTTTAAATTCTGCTTGATCGTATTCACGAGGTAGGAGAGGAAATGGGCATTAAAATAAACTCAAAAAAAAAACAAATTTTTAGTGTTTAGTTGTGACCCACATCCCGATGCAAAGCTTCAATTAAACAGAGTCCTAGTTGAGAAAGTTGACATATTTGGGAACTGTGATAACGGACCAACTAGATCTAGAAATAGAAATAAAACTAGAATAGCAATGACTAAAACTACTTTTATGAAAATGAAGTCATTTCTTTGCAATAACCATCTCAGTTTAGAACTAAGACAAAGAATGGTTAAGTGCTATATTTGGTCCGTACTTTTGTATAGCGCAGAAGCGTGGACGCTAAAAGTATCGATCATGAACAAAATTAAAACATTGGAAATGTGGGTTCATAGACGAATGCCGAAGATACCTTGTACAGCAAGGAAAACTAATGAATAAGTACGAAGGAGCGTTAACAAAAATAGAGAACTGCTAAAGACTGTTAAACATCGAAAATTGTCTGAGATTTTCCCATTAATTTTTATCGAAAAATGTCTTATTTGGGACATATAGTAAGGGGAAGTCGATATAAAATATTACAACTGATCCTTAAGGCAAAATAGAGGGTAGGAAGAAAACAAGTTTCTTGGTTAAAAAACATTCGTAAATGGACTCAGATATCAAATGCAGGACAATTATTCCATATTGCAGAAGATCGACAAGCCTTCGCAATTCTGATATGGCACGCGAAGAAGAAGAAGAAGCAAAACCTTCAAATATAGAAATCTTACAAACATATTAGTCCAAAACACTGTTGGAACATGATTCTTGGTATGTATGAAGACCTTACAATACCGTTCATAAAAGACAATATACACAAACATGCAGCTAAACATAGGAATGAAAACTTAAACCACAACAATGAATTAATCAACGCCTTTGTCAATGCTCCAGCAAGAAATAGATCACTGAAGATAAAGTGATCAGAAGATCTGGTTAGATGAATCATGGTGGATTGACAGCATCCACAAGCCATCATAATCAACAAATTTATTTAATACTGAGAATGTAATAAGTGGCTTGTAAATAAATATTTTAATAAAAAAGCATAACTAATAAAATTAATGCAACTATTTCACTTACGTAATATTTCCTTTTCTTTAGTTTGAATACTTTGTTCTCGTGCTAAAGCCAATACGTCGTAATTTTGAATAACTTTTTCTTCAATACCTTGTAGAACTTTAACATTATGACCCAGCAGTTCAATTCCTGCATCAATTTTTTGCGTTAGTACAGGACCTTCACCCAAAAAGGACGTTTCCCTTTGTTTCATCTCCTTAATATAATCTATTTGCATGACATGTTCTGCCTTAATATCTTCCAATTTTTGAGTGTACACGTCTTTTAAAAGTTTAATTTCATTTCTATGCTGTTCTTCCATCGTTTCCATTTTTTCTTTGTAATACGTTATCTGTTCTTCGTTGTTGACTTTGAAAGCACTGAATTTTTCTTTGAAAAAGCTAGTTATGTTTTTTAATTCATTCCGCAAATTTTCCTCTACATTTACTGAACCTCTTTCAATTAGATCCATTTGTTTTCTAAAAAAAATATTAAATTACTTATTTTAAATGAAATATGAACAAAACGAAAATAAAAACTAAAAATAAAGAAAAGACAGTTAGGATTTGATATCACATATAATGCCTCTGTATATTTGCTTATACGTATTTCATCCTATCAGGATTCATCAGACCGACTGGTACAGAAGCTCTAAAAGAGAAATCAAATCTTTGCCGTCAAGAGAAGTAATAAGAAGATAATTTCAATAAGGATGCTACAGTGACATCTGAGAATAAAATCAGGAAGTAGAAATCTGAATATCTCTTGGTTGACGAAACCAGACTTCAGATTTTTGCCTAAATCTATCTTCTTCTTAGGGTACATGTCCGTTCCGAACGTTGGCGATCATTGTGGCTATGATGACTTTGTTGTTGCTATACGGAATAGCTGTGTTGAGGTCTTTCTATACCATGCTCTCAAGTTACCAAGTCAGGATATTCTTCTTCGTCCTGGTGCACTTTTTGCTTCAATTTTACCTTGCAAAACGCATTGGAGTAGCTCATATCTGCCATGGTTTCTCATTATATGTCCCAAGTACTGCACTTCACGGCCCTTCAGGGTGTTGACAAAATCCGCGGTTGTGTTCATCATCCGTAGTACTTATTTAGGTGACTTTGTCTGTCCATGGTACCTTCAGGATCCTTCTGTATAACCATAGCACAAAATCTTGAAGTTTTGATAGAGTTTCCGCCTTCAATGTTAACGTTTCTAGTTCATACAGAAATACTGAGTACACGTAACATTTAAGCAGCCTTATTTTTGTTTCTAGGGAAAGGTCGTAGCTCTTGAACACAGAGCTCATAGTCAATGAGCAATTTTTTATTATTAAAGCAATTATTGTAATGGGGATAAGCCACAAGCGAAGTTTAAAATAAGTTTATTGACGCTTCAATTTCCAATTCGGATATCGTTTTCAAAATACAAACATTAATAAATTAAACAAATTTTGTTCTTTTATTCAATAGATTAAAGATTATTGTGGTACGTGACTAGTTCCGATAATATTGTCTCTTGTTAATCGACTTGATTGATTTACTTCTAGTAGACCTATAAATTTATAACAGTTTAATATAGAATTTAAGTAATCGCTCGCAATCTTACCATTACTTGCGTTAGGCTGGTCTATTGTAATACTAGTAGGTTCGCCTAAAATGTTTTCATATCATTTATGCCAAGATCCATATCATTAGTAAACATGAATAATTCCATTTAATTTAATCTTTTGGGTATTGTCTCACGACTCATTGATTATAGTTCCCAAGTAGTGGTACTGTGACACACGTTTAATTCTCATTTGGTTCACATACCCTGCAGCCCTCCTGTGGTATTCATCATCATTGGCTTTTACAACTCTTCGGGGGTTTTTGCCGCGTTTACTATTGCGTTCCATTGATTCCGATCCTGTGCTATTATTTTCCATGGCCTTACTTCCATTTTCTCTAGGTCTTCCCTGACTGCGTCTTTCCACCTTTTTCTAGGCCTTCCTGTCGATCTTTTACCATCTGGTCTTTGCCAAAACACATTGCTAATCAGTCTGTCGTCATCACTCCGTACCACGTGGCCTGCCCATCTTAATCTATTGGCTTTTATGTATCTTACGATGTTTCCTTTCCCGAAGAGAGTCTCTATTTCATTGTTGTATCTGCTCCTCCATTCATTTGTCACGCTGTCCCTGCAAGGATCATATATAATTCGCTCCTGTGGTATTGGAAAACACTATTGAATGATCTGCATACCGCAGATTATTGAGGTCTATTTATTGAGATGTCTTCATCAATATCTTTTAGAGCCTCTTCAAAAATGAGCTCCGAGTACAAATTAAATATCAGTGGTGAAATTATGCGCCTTGTCTCACTCCCCTTAAGATTTTAACCTGATCTGTATATTCTCCATCTATTCGGAGCACCGCTGATTTATTCCAATACTGGTTATCTATTATTTTTACATATCTTCCGTCAATCTCTGTCCTGTTCAGTACTTTCATCATTTGTTCATGCCTGACTCTATTGACAGCCTTCTTGTAGCCAATCAGGCATGCAAAAAATGTCTACATCTTTGAAACAATACCTGCACGCTAAATAAAGCTTCTCGTACTAACGGCGCTCACAAATCCAAACTGATTGAGCGCAATTTGTTACTCGCATCTCCGGTAAATTCATTTGTGGATAACTTTTAAAAACAGCTTCAGTAGATAGCTCATTAGGCTTATGGTTGTATAGTCTTCACAACCTTTTGCTCCTGGTTTTTTCGGCAATGGTACGAACTCCGATTTGAGCCACTCTACTGGTATTTTTCCTGTCATGTCTCCTCCTCCTCTATCCTTTATCCTTTGTAAGGATGTGGTGACGTTATGGTATTTGACGAAGGGTTGCTACCCATTCTTCTCTCTCCTGGGCGCGGTGTGCTGCCTCAGACAGAGAGTAACCGGTAGCGCACTTTATTTAGTCTGACCATCGGAGTGGCGATCTTCCTCGAGTTCTTTTACCATCTACCTTGTCTTCAACCACCAACGTCTCCATGCCTTCCATTCGGCTGGTAATGTGTCCAAAGGACCTGAATATATTTTGGTTGATGATTGTGGTAAACCTAGTATTGATGTCGAGTTCTGTCAATATTGAGACATTGTGCGATGTGCTGTCCAGGATATGCACATCATTCTACGATATACCCACATTTCTAAGGCCACTAAACGTCATGAGTCGGACCTTTTAATGATCCAAGTTTCTGACGCATAGGTAGCGATAGGAAAGATAAGCGTCCGTACTAGGCGCAGTTTCGTGTTCCTGGTTATGTCCGTATCTTTCCCGATTTTGACCGTTTGACCAAGTTTGACCGTTGCTGATCTAGCCATTGTAAGGCGTCGACGTATCTCTTCTTCGCATCCACCATTTTTTGTGATAACTGAACCTAAGTAATTGAAACGGTTTACCACTTTAAACCCCGCTACGTTTCGTATTTCCGGCTAGTTATTTCTAATTTGATCGATTATTATTACCTTGGTCTTCTAAACATTAATTTTAAGTCCATATTCACGACTAATAATATTTAGTCTGTTTATGATGTATTCAAGGTCATTTGTTGATGATGCTAGTACTAAAGTACCTGCCTTGTATATTTCATTAAATATATCAGTTATTATTTTTATTTGTTCTGCATCTAATAGCTTCAGCAGTTTTGCAGGAATTTCAAGCAAGTCCTGGTACTTTTCTATCCTTCATTTGTCTGACGGCTGCCGTTATTTCTTCTGGTAGGGTTTCCATACATATAAGTAATCTTTCCATACTTTCTTTTTACCTTCTGTGGATATGGCAAGATTGCCTTCATCATCTGTTATTTTCCGTTGTTGCGTTTTCGGAACTTTCCAGCTATTTCCTTTATGTTTCAATGGCCATTGAAGGTACCAGATCTGCTCTGATACTCCTCTAGTTCTCGAAATTCTTCTGTTTTTTTGTTTCTCTTTGGCTTCTCTTATCTTTCTTCTGACGACGGTATGTATTCTCTTGCATTCTTGGAAATTTTCTTTGTTTTTTTTTCTCTGATATAAGTTCAAGTATTTTATCGGTTATCCACAACTTCCGTTTTTCTGTATCTTTCTTCAGGTGTTGTTCTTTTGTTTCCCTCACTGTTTCTTGTATGATGGTTAAATTTTCCTCTATGGTTCCTGAAGCTATGCCTTCTATAAATTGCAAGTCAAAAAAGACGATATAATAAGAAAACATATAAGAATAAGATGTCATCAAACACAACATAAAAATGTAACAGAAGAAAGGTTAAGGTATGGAGAGAAAGTGAAAGAAAAGTTAAAAAATATGAAAACAAAAAAGAGACATTACATCCCGATATTAAGATATGGACAACTTTTTTTAATAAAAGAAAGCTTTATAAATATTCTTACTTGTACGATTCTTCCATAAGAAACAATTCCTCATCATGTCGTTGTTTTATTTTACGAATCAGCACTTCCTGGGAACTGTCTTCTTTTTCGGCCGGTTCATCATTGGTAGATTTAATATCTGCGGATTTTCCTACGTGATCGGAAACCAACATTTGTATTTGATTGTTGATTCTTTCTTGTTGTAATCTTATATTGTTCTCCACCATTTGTTGTTTCAAAATATACTCGTCTACGAAATTTTTAAATTGCTTTTCCTGTTGGCCTATAATAGTAAATAGGTTAAAAACATTTGTTACGGTTGTAAAAATAATATTAAAGTGGTGCTAACTAGTAGTTATTAAAGTAATTATTAGTCACATGAAAAAAATTTATACAATATGTAGTATTTTAAGAAATACTTCGTGTAAACTTAGCTTAAGAGATATGACAGAAGAAGAGGGAATGGTTCCCGCCAAGCGATAGAATTAGAGGTTAGCTTGGCTCCTTAGGTAGAAGCTTAGATCGTAGTCAGTTGTCTATTTGACAATTTAATAATAAAGTGACGAGCGACAAGTGAACGTGGACGTTCAAGCATTAACCAAATCTTTACACTACGACAGATCCTCGAAAAAGCGCAAGAGTTTAACATAGATATGTATCATATTTTTGTCGATTTTAAAGCGGCATATGACAGTGTCTTAAGATCAAGTCTTTACAACGCTATGAATTAGTTAGGAATTACAAAAAAATTCATATGTTTGATAAAAGTGACAATGACGAAGAAACTATCAGCTCGTCAACCGCATTTGAAATACATAGGGGTTAAGGCAGGGAGATGCGCTGGCGTGACAGCTTTTTAATGTCGCCTTAGAAAAAGTTGTACGAGACGCAAATTTAGATAGCAGGGGAACAATATTTAATAGATCAGTACAACTTCTAGCATATGCAGACGACGAGGACATTATAACAAGAGCCAGGGCGAGAACTGCGGAAATCACAACCGAGCTAGTAGCAGCAGCAGAACGAATGGGGTTACATATAAATCAAAATAAAACCAAATTCATGGCAACTAACACAAACACAAGAGCTGGAAATGTTGACGCAGATTTAATCATCAATGACCAAAACTTCGAAGCATTGAAAGAGTTCATATATCTAGGGACATCGGTTAACCCCAATACATCTGAGGAAATACAAAGGCGAATAATAATTGCAAACAGATGTTATCATGGTCTATCAAAGTACTTAGCTAATAAACGTCTGTCTCAAAAAACTCGTATAAGGCTGTATATAACACTGATAGTCCCCGTTCTCACATATGGATCAGAAGCATGGACGCTAACTAAAACAGATGAGTCCGCTCTATCGATTTTTGAAAGAAAGGTGCTACGCAAGATATTCGGAGCGGTCTTTGTGAACGGAATATGGAGGCGTAGATATAACCTAGAACTGCAGAATATCTACAAGCATATGTATGGTGGTCTCTATGGACTCTGTTAAGGCTTTTAACATCTTTTGATGACTTATTCTGTCGAAATCTTTTTCGTAGTCAACAAATATCATGACTAATGGCTTGTTATATTCAACACTCTTTTCTATTAAGTTCTTAATTACTTAATATCTACTTATTATAAAACTCTACTGAATCTACTATAAAAACTGAATAAGTAATCTTACCTAAAATCTCTGTCTGTTTATCTTGAATTTCTTTCAATACTTCTTCATACTTCTTAAATTGAAGAGAAACTAACAAAAGTGACTCCTGTTGATGTAAGGCTGAATACGTATTTTGTATTCCAGCATTAATATCTTGTGGCAATAATGTAGAGGAAGCTGGAACAGCAACTGGTTTATTTTCAGTAACATAAGAAGGAGGAGGTTGTTCTTTCTGAAGCGGTGTAGGTTCTTTGGAAAATACCGGTGGGTCTTCTTTTGGAATCAAGATTGAAGCTTTTTCAATCTTCCTAGAAATCGGAGATTCTGACCGCTTGGTACCTGATGATCCTATTCCTAACCAATCGGGAACTCCTAAAATTTATTGATTACTTATTTATATACTTCGAGTTAAAGGGCAGTAATAAACTGAGCCTTTGTTGCGTGTTGCGTGAAGATAGTCTTAACTATTTAACCCCTTACCGCATAGTAAGTCATATATGGCATAATACTTGGTTCTATACCTAACTGTATAGAGATCGAATTTTATTTTAAAGTATTTATGCATGACATGTCCATATAGAGCACATAGTTCGTAGGTATACCCGGTAATAAAGCGCCATCTTAATGCAGCAAAGTGTACTTTTATGAAAATTTGCAAATGACCGCGGTCTAACAGCTATTCATAAGATTTGTGCAATTTGATATTCAATTATCGAAGGTTCTACTGAATATTTTTGTGTAAGTATTTCACATATTTCTGTATACTTTGGTATTTTTTAATCAAAAATGTGCTTGTGCCATATATGCCGAAATACGCACTGTCGCACAAAACTCTCTTTCATATATGACACAATAGGCGTTCTGAACTAGGTATTATTATTTTTTTTTTTTTAATTTTAGATAATGAATCCAAAAAAAGTTTTATGGTGAAACTCTAGTAGTAGTGGACATACCACATGGTAGTGAAGACGAAGGATGTATCAAATGATGATATTTCCCCTATTATATTAGCCCCAGAGTCAGACTATGATGATAATATAATAGATAATAATGAAACAGATATTATTATCCCAGAAATGGATCCCAGTTTGGATAGAGAAGATGATATTTCTTTGGACGAATTACGACGTAATCTAATCTAAAGAATAGAAATAAAAATCATCCAACTTGGAAAGGACATTTGGTTACATCAGATGATGATATAAGATTTCTCTGTTCTACAGACTACCCGAGTTGCAACAAGCGGATTCCCCTTACGCATTTGTAACATTTTTTACAAGTGAGATGATTAAAAATAATGTTTATCAAACTATCTATATTATATTCAGTGGAAAAAAGATCTGAAAAACCTTTAAAACTTTCTGAAAATGAGCTAGAACAGTTCTTAGGAACCTGTATTTATATGTCAATAGTGCACAAAACGCTAGAATTTATTGGAACTCTAGCCTGAATGATCGATTGATCTCAGATGTTATGTCATGCAATAGATGGAAAGAAATAGGGTAAAAGGGGGTAAGATGACGAATCGGGTAAGATGACGAATTCCCGATATTTATCCAACGTACAACTCTGGCAACACTGTCTTCAGTCAGGACCGAACAGATGTTCCAAGTTTTCTCGCCTTTGAATACACACACGTTAGCGAGCTGCCAGAGTTTAGTATGATACAAAAGAGCAATGGCTGAAATTACTGCTCAACAGTTAAATGTAAATGCAGCCTCAAAAGCATATACTATTCCAGAACCTATTCTGAGAAGATATGTTAAAAAATATCCTGACGAAATAACTTGTGTATCCTAGTTATTTTCATTTTTAAAAGTCAACTTTTATAATTCTGAATTTTTCTGAAAATGCTGGCTGCTTTACATCCCCATTTAATGAAGAACAAATAAATCAACTTCAAAAATATGTGATAGATATAGATAAACGGGCATTTGGATTAGCCACGAATCAGTTTAGAAAAATTGCTTTCAACTTTGCCGTTCATTGTGGTGTTGCTGATAGATTTAACACTACAAAGAAAATGGTTGGTAAAGACTTTGCACAATCCTTTACGAAAACATTTAATCTATCATTCCGTAAACCAGAAGCAACTTCCGCTGCTAAATTTATGGCTTTTAATAAAGTTAATGTGGAAACTTTCTTTAAGGTATACAAAGAATTGCATCAAAAATATTCATATTCTGCTAATCAAATTTACAATATTGATGAAACCGGTTTTTCTTCAGTACCTACCAAGGATCCTAAAATATTAACCCCAAGAGGCAACCGTCGAGTTGTGAAAATTTCTTTGGCAAAAAGAGGAGTTAACGTGACTGCTGTTTGTGGCATGAATGCCGTTGAAAATTTTATACCACCGTTCCTAATATTTCCAAAAGTAAAAATGCAACCAGCTCTTAAAAATGGAGCGCCCGAAGGGACCATGGCAGTAGCTTATCCTTCTGGATGGAAGAGTTCTGAAAATTTTGTCAAATATTTGGAACATTTTATTCAACACGCTTGTCCAAGAAAACACAAACCTGTGTTAGTTATAATGGATAATCACACCAGTCACGTTTCTTTGGAAGTCATTAAGCTATATCGGAAAAATCACATTACTCTACTTGGTTTCCCACCGCATACCAGTCATCGTATGCAACCATTGGATGTGTCAATATATGGACCTCTGAAAACAGCATACTCATGAGCTTGCGAAGATTTTTTGATCAGTAATCCGGGTCGTCTTATAACATTGTATGACATTGCAACCCTATTTGGGAAAACGTACTTAAAAGCAGCAACTGTTTCAAATGCTCTTAGAGATTTTAGAGCCACTGACATATATCCTGTGGATAGCCGGGTGTTTGATATACTTGATTTTGGGGCATCTTTAACAACACATAAACAAACCAATTTCAACAAAAGTTCCAACTACATCTGCTTTGGAAAATGAAGAGATCGAAGAGGAAAAGCCAGATATTCAAGGAATGTCACCGATATCTGTTTTAAAAGAAACAGTACCTCAAGAACCTGTTCAAATATCTGACGAAATTTCAGATATTTCTATTCCAAACATGCCAGGTCCATCTACATCAGGAATAGCTGGTCAGACACGCCCTCATGTATCAAATCATATATTGAATAATGGTCTACCTAAATTACCTGTTGCTGAAGTGAGAGCAAAACGACACAGAAACAAATTACGATCTCTTTCTCCATTCCCCTAAAACGTTTTTTACATTTTGCGAACAATAACGATGCTATTGCTGCTTGTAATCCTGGTCATGAAAAACTTTTTAAAATCAGACTGCTACTAAATAAACTAAGGAATTAGTTTTGGGGGCAAGTACAAATATGGTTCTTCGGCTAACACAAACAGTACCAAGACTTATAAATCACCAAATATTCTTTGATAATTGGTTCAACAGCGTCCCATTGCAAATTTATCTAACGAAACAGAGTATGTTACCACTAGGAACGGTTAGAATAAACAGAATGCCAAACAGTAATATGCCAAAATAGGCTGAATTAAAAAAGAACGACCGAGGAGCTATGGTAGAGAAAGTCGCCACAATTGATGGTACAAAAATATCTGTTGTTACATGGTATGACAACAAATTAGTAAACATTTTATCAACATATGCTGGGAGTATGCCAACAGTTGAAGTTAAACGATTTTCGAAAAAGGATAAGACACATATAATGGTTCCATGTCCAAAAGCTGTAATGATCTACAATAAGTATATGGGGGGAGTAGATCTCCTGGATTTAATGTTTGGATATACTCATGAGTATATTTTTCGATATTATTGATTTGATGACTGTCAATGCGTGGATTATTTGGAGAATAAGTGACAATGAGCATAATAATTTAACTCTGGCAGATTTCAAAATGGCAGTAACAGAGTGTTTATGCAAAGTTAATAAAGCTGGTTTTACTACATAAAGAGGTCGTCCATGTGGAGCTATGGAAAATTTACAAAACAGAAAAAGAAGGGGCCCAGCAATCGATATTCGAATGCAAGATACAGGAACAGATGGATATGGTTATCTTCCATTACGGCGTAGTGCAAGGCAAACATGCAAATATCCCTGTGGTTCCAAAGTATAATGTCTTTCTTTGCTGAAACAAAGATAGAAATTGTTTTTACTACTTTCACACTGAATAATTATTATAATTAGAAAGTAATTAACATCATTTTTTACTAATTTTACTTGTTGAATCTTGTTTGAATGCATAGGGTGCCATATTTGAAACACAAAAAAAAATACAAAAAGCTGACCAAGTAGGATTTTTTTATATTTTTACCGTAATCTTGAAGTCAAGTTTTTAATCATGGACTTTTTTTTATAAAACATAAAAAAATCATGCAGTAAGGGTTAACATTGAAATGAACCTGCTCCCAAATAATGCCCTGCTCCAGCTACGGTACACAAATCATAAAATAATTTTTTCTCACATACCTGACGTACTAGTTTTCTGAAAAGTTTCCACTGGCTTGACCGGCTCTTTTTTATCCTTATTTAAAAAATCTCCATGATAGTCGCCACTGAACAACCCCAAGCCCAAACTATCTTCGACTCCTGATCCCCGTCGTCCTCCTCGTCTTCTTTCAGCTGGAATAGCTGATTTTCCCACATCCGTCGAAAAAAGAGATGCATCAGGATTTAATGAGCTCACATCCTTTAAAGAAGTGGTCGTTTTAGGCACTGCAGAGGCTGCCTTGCTTTCTTTTAGAATGTCTTCAAGAGATGTTCCTCGTTTATCTGGTTTAGGCTTAGGTTTAATAGGTAGAATGTCATCCAGGAAATCGGTACTCTTCGATTTATCTTGTCGTGATGCATCTAAACAAAAAAATATTTTAAAGTGTTTACAATAATAATAATTTAATATTATTAAAACAATTTACGAAAAAAAAAAAGTAAATGAAGGTACACAGTGTAATGCGTTTTGAAAAATTTAATAATAAATGTATTAATATAATTCCTAGTAAATATTCAACTCAATGTTACTCACGCCATCTATCCGCCGAGTGCATTTAAATTACCTCAAGGACGCTACTGTGGTTCCTAATAGCTCCGACCGTCGCCTCAAAATTGGAGCCTTCGTAAAATCCTCGTCCCATTCATCTCCCTACCTTTCTCTCCTTGAACGTCCAACAGAGAAGACGAAAATTTTATTTGAGTGATCTCTTGACAAGGTAAGCCGAAAAATTCTTATATTCTTATATATATATATATATATATATATATATATATATATATATATATATATATATGATTTTGCATACTTTACCGGGAGCCCTGATAGTTGCTAAAACTCTGTCTATTGGTCCTAGGTTATCTAAATAACAATTCGAAGGATATACCGTTTGTTTAGTTGCCCAATCTTATAAATTTTTATCGTGGATATTATGTTCCCGCTGTGATAGATTCAACATTTCTGCCAGGCCGAGTACCTAGAGATCTTCTTCTTCGTCTAGGCATTCACGTCCACATCTGAACATAAGCCTCTTCAAGTCTTCCTTTCCATTGTTTTTTATTGTACGCTACTTGTAGCCAATTTTTCCCGGCAGTCCTTTTCAGATCATCTGTCCATCTCATAGGAGGTCTGCCTCTGGGCCTTTTGTGTTGGTATGGTCTCCAGGTTAAAATTGATCTGTGCCATTTGTTTAGATCGCTCCTGGCTACATGTTCAGCGTATTTCCATTTCAACTTTAATGATTTTTGCACCACATCGGTTACTTTGGTTTTCTGTCTTATCCATGTGTTTGTTTTCTTGTCCTTAAGTGATATACCTAGCATTGCTCTTTCCATCGTGTGTTGAGTGACTCATAAGTATATTCATATTCTTTTTTGTGATTATAGTTAGTTAAGTTAATATCGGAATAATGCATGCATCAAAAACTTTAGATCTAAGATGTAATTGAATTTGTTGATTTCTGAGAGTATAGTTCAGTTTACCGAATGCTGCCCAAGCTAACTTTCTTCTTCTTTTTATTTCTTCAGTTTGAATTTCCCTATTTAGTATTATTTTTTGTCCTAAGTATATAATATATTCTTCAACTTTTTCTATAACTTTATCGTTTATTATTGTCACGGTGTCTTCGGAGTGCGTGACTTTTGTTTTGTTTAAATTTATTTTCAGTCCTATTTAGAAGATTCGGTATGCAGTTCTAAAAGCATGGTTTGCATTTCTTGTAGGTCAGTACCTAACTATCAGGATTATGTCATCTGCAAATCAGAGATTACTGAGGTAGCGGCCATTGATGTTTATTCCCTTATATTTCCAATTTAGGTTTTTAAAAACGTCCTCCAAAACTAAGGTGAACAGTTTGGGTGATAAAGTATCTCCCTGTTTGACTCCCCTGTTTAATGGTACAGGGTTCGTGTGTTCATTTTCATTTAGGTAGTATGTAGCTGTAGCTTGGTTCATAGTTTCTTTTATGATTAAGTTAATATATCTGCTGTCTATTCTACAATTTTGCATTGCGTTTATTACGGCCGTGTGTTCTATAATATCGAAAGCTTTTTTCGTAGTCTACAAATGCTAGATTTAGAGGATAAAAAACAGTTATATTCTTTATACAGGCCACACTAGTATTTGGATAATTTAGGTTGTATTCATTTAATATTTTTTATTGAACAGTGGAGATTACCTATGAACTAAATAACAGTGAAGTGATTTATTATTGATCTTTTAATTATCATAAAAATCTATTTTCTACCTAATATACAAAGGTATTTTTTTATGTGAACGAATTTCGAAATTTGGGATGAAGTATAATATTTACACTATTGATATTATTTTTATATATTTCTCATTCATAATCTAATGCAAAGATATAAAATGCTTGTTTTCTTACGATGTGATTTTAATTTTTCCCATTTCATTTTAATTTTAAAGATAATACAAACAGCTGAAAGGTATATTGTTTGTTTACTTAAGTAAATAGTTCGCTCACATTGCAATATGACAATGTGTTGAATCGTAAATTATGTCACAAAACCAATACTAAAAAGGAAATGTCGTAAATTTTGACAATCACCGCAAATAAAGATGATTTTGAGAAACAAAAGGAAATTAAAAAAATTAGAGGCAGATAGAAAATAGATAAAAAAAAAACAAAACTACGCAAAGAATTGCAGAAACAGGTTTAAATTTTAAAGCTTGGGCCAAAGAACAGCCAGTGAAGGATAAAAGTGGCAGTAGTGAAGATTCAGATTCGGAACGTATCTATTGCAATGAAGCTTATAGTCGGAGTAAGAAGGAAGAGGGCTGGATAAAGTATCAACAGTGAATTAAATGGGCATATGATACATTTGCTGGTGTGAAAAAAGACGAAGGCATGTTTCTAAGCAAATTTTGCCAATATTAACTGATGGTCCCATTTTCCCCGCATACTGGGGTGTACAGGACCGCACGCCATTTTCAGTTAAATTCATTATGATCGAGTGTTACTTTTATGTAACGCTTACAGAGGTACTTAGTCGGCTTTACATGAAGTTTTAGTTTCGCTACAATCACGTAGTTGGCAGTGTAAAGCATTCAAATCAAACATAAGGAAGCCTTCCGTGCAAAGCCAGACTGATAGTTATTTTAGTTATTGAGTAACTGCAGCCTGAACGAAGTATAATGTAGCAAGTCTCATGGAGCATACTATTTGTTTCTAGTAAATTCTGCAAAACCTTATTTTTAGGGTAAAACGCATGATATTTTTAGAAGAATACTGTTAAATAGTGCTTTTTGTTGTTGTTTATAAGTATATAACGCTAGGCTCTCTGGAGTACGATTTCAACCTTGAAAAAAGTATTAAAACTTTTTAATACTTTTATTAAATTTTTATTACCGCTTAACTCTAAAAAAGCAGTAGAATTAACATATAAAGATGATGCGGATGAAATCTTCATTGAGCGTCCGGATGCCAGTGAATTACCGAATGAGGATTGGAATGTATTTTTTCATGATTTACAAAAAATTTTCGCGAAAGCGCATGGCTAATAAACGTACCGGAACTTAAAAGTGTTATTGAAACCTATGATAAGAGTGGTGTTTTCATTACTTATTAAGTTTGTCAGATGCAAGTAAAATGTGGTATTAGGTGGTCCTTTTGGCCCCGGTCCCCCCTACTTTGTAAATAAATTCAAAAATCTACAACCTTAAATTTAAGATCTGCTGTTCTTACCAAAATTACGAGATTTTTCTGATACGACTTATAACTATTAACTTATGTTTAGTTTATAGTTTAAAAATCATAACTAAACTTACCTTTAGTTGTATCAAGAAGCCAATCATCCATCGGTTTTTTAGCAACACTTTCAGCCTTTTTCGTTTCTTCTGTTGTACCTGCAGATGACTTTGGTTGCGTATCAAATGCTAATAACTGATCCAGGGTCTTCTTCTCCGGTGTCTTAGTTAAACTAGGACGTTTCGTTTTATGGTCGTCGAAAAAACTGTCGTCATTTTCCAAAGGGTCGTCTAAATCGAAATCCATATCTCTTTCTAATTAATGATTAATTCAAGCTAATAATAGTGGTATTTTATTCACAATGCAGTATTGTGATCATGAACAAATAGGGGAAGCTTTGTTTGTATTTATGTAATGTTGACGTTTGAGTTGCTAGGCTACAGCTTTAAATTATATTATTGGTCGAAATAAAGGGTTTGAGTTTTGAATTTATTTACATACGAGTATAAGCCTCGTTGGTTAGGTAACCAAGAATTTTCTTCCTTGGCCGAAAGAATTCGGATAGAATTCCACCGAGGTGAAAAATTTAAATAGTTTTAATGTTACTACTTTTTAAGTGTTTCTGCGCATTTCTTCGATATCCCATAACGATAATTCGAACCTCATAGTAACACAAATTTAATATGTATTTAATTTAAGCAACTGCTTTTCTTGTTTCATTCACTTTTAGGTCACATACCTATGGTAATTCTCATAGGTGCAGTATAAACAGTATAATTATTTACGAGTGGGAGGTGAATAGATTTAGAACGAGGGAAAAGGAAAAAAGTATTTTTCTTTATAAATATGGGCACATATTGATATGGATCACATATTAATCCTTTTTTATTCTTATGTCCGAAAACTTATTTCTTGCTTTAATCTACGAGATGCAATAATACGTAACGGATTTTAAGCTTTCAGTTATTTGCTTTCAAGTAAAGTCCAACATTAAATGACGTAGATAAAGTAAACGTAGGTGATATAACGCAGAATTCGGGCTGTTGCCTGATCTCAAACGGAATACCGATAACAACATTAATTGGTTTTTATGGTACCTAGGACTATTAGGTACTCACAACATGAACTCCACCTAAATCATACAATAAGAGCTACTATAACTTAAAAAAATATATAAAAAGTCAACTTTTGAGAAAGGGATATCCCCGACAGGGTGTACACTCACTAGGTGTTGGCGATATGGTTTATGGGAAATTACATGTAAACCAAAAATAAAAACTCAGTGATTAACTTTTCAACTTTTAATGAAATTGGGTAAAATAAAACTGTCTAACCAACTGACATAGTGTTTAGTCGGTAGGGAATTTAACAACAAAATTGAAGTGTCCACGACGAATATTAGTTTTGGCATAATTTTCTTAATTTGTTCCATTTTGATAATGCCGATGTCTTCGGTTAATGGAAAGACTAACTGAATCTTCCTTTATTTATAAAATAAATTTCCACGCCATCATTATAGATGTTAATGACTACGCCCACATAATATAATCGTTTATTCTTTCCTAGATACTCAACTAATACGTAGTCGTTGAAGTTAACACTTTCTACTAGTTGACAATGGCCATTCTTCTTCTAGTAATATCTTCTTTTTCGCTGGCTTGAAAGATTGAATGTCTTCTCCTGCTTTGCAATTTTGATTGCTCGTTTGGCGTTCTTAGCTTCTATATTTTAAGGTGTTGTCATTGCTGTTTCTTTTTCGCTACGGCAGGAACATCAGATTTTGGCACTGGTGACACAATTTATAGGAGTTTCGTATAAGTTATTTCTTTTATAAGAAGTGGTGTTCTTCTTTGGAGTATGAAGTGAAAGTGAGCCAGATGCGCTGGGTTGCGGATCCAAGCCTGAGCTATCACGTGCGTCGTCGTCCTTGCCCATAGAGTTGTACTCCAGGGCACCTTGTACGTAAGCGTAATCAGGAATAGAGTAGGGCACGAATAGAATTACTCTGCAGGTCCGGAAACCTGCCGAACCAGTAGACATTGTTGCAGCTTGAGACCAGGCTTTCTGTAGAAGTTGGCCAAAGTGCCTGCGTTCTATCTGCTTTCAAGGACTAGCATTTCCCCATTCGATAGCTGCACTTCGGTAACAGGCCTTCAATGGTTTGAAAAACAATTGGTCAAGAGGCTGTAAGTAATGAGTTGTGTAGCTGGAAAGGCACAGAAAGTGGACATCATTTTCCAGCGCTATATCTAATATGTCTGGTGAGGTAGGGTGTGATCCATGTACTTCGAGCAGTAGTAGGCTTGGACCAGGCTTTTGGGATAAAGCCAATTTTTAAAGAGGTCTTCATTTATATAGGCTGATTTTTCACCCATCTTCACTTTGGATCCATTAAGCATATTATTGAGTAACACTTGTCGGTTGTATACACCTTTGAACACAGTGCAACAGTCAACAACTGTCACTGTCTTTCCTTGTTCTTTTGATTGCCGCACTTCGACTGGCTTGCTGCCTTTTTAAATAATTCTGAGTTTGTTGAAAAGGTTCAACAAGTCTAACGTCGTTATTAACAAACTGAAATAATCATTCAGTTCTTCCTTTATCATGCCGTCCACGCGGGCCATATTCACTCCTTGGGCTTTTCGAATTGCCAATGATGGCATCTGGCGTCCATTTAATAAATGCGTTAAGCCATCCCCTACCTGCTTTGCGTCTCTCCACATTGAAATAGCGGTCCATTTGTCCAGCCGCCAAAAGCCAGATTGAAAGCCGTTCAGCAAAGTGAATCCCTTGTTGGCACGTACCCTGTAGCTTGCAATATCTTGACATGAAGCACTAATTTTTGTTCTGCATCTAGACCAAGGGAAGAAGGTTGTCCTAGCTTGCTAATGCTGTTCTTTGTTTTGAGTCGAAATCGTAGGATTTTTTCCGGTATCCCATATTTTTTAGCTGTACACCCCTAACTGAACAGTCGTCTACAACATACTTGACAGTGACAAGAAGATTATCTTTAGTCCAGCACATATTCTTCACATGTATCTAGGCATATCTTCAAAAGGAAAATAAGTTCTACAACGACAACGCGTTATATCCAATGACTTGACGCCATTTTAAGTTAAACTGCAAATAGTAAATAATAAGGGCTATGTGTTTAAATAAGTAAAGTTATTAATTTTAAGGAATGCGCAATAACGTAAAAATTAATCAAAAGTTTTATCTTCGGACTACGCCATTAAACTTTTTGAATTAAGTTTTAAACTTAGAAATTGCTACTCAGATTTATGAAATAACAAAAAACATACCACCAAAAATATTATATACTACGAGCTGACCCACCAGTTGGCCTATCTTAGCAATATGAGTCAAAAAATTAATCCGGAAACCAATATATATGTCGTCAATTTGACTTGGCCACTGGCGCAACACAATCCAGTGGCGTAACCTGTAAACATATTATTATATGCCTTGAAATGTGGATACACAAAGTTTTTTTAGTTGAATAGTATACAATGTGCTTACCTACTGTGTGATTACCTAATTCATCACTGCTTAATCACTTCAATGTATTCCTTCCATGAAATTCTGTTGAACCCGAGTAAGTACCGCCAAATATGTAAGCTCCGGAATTCTTACCTTTCTCGTTAAAGGTTTGAAGTGAAGTCAATAATAATACAAGGGGAGGTGGACGGAAGGACGAAAGCTCCCTCCACTACGGATCGCTATACTACAGTATATCACTATAAATAATTCTTTAGCATTAAACTGTGGATATACACTAACTTGGGCATGCTTTACCTGATGGTAGTCGCGAGGAAGTAGAATAAAGACTTATATATTCCCCAAGTTTTATTTATATCATGTGATATCATAGACAACAAAAGTTATTAGTGGCGGGTTTTAGGGGTTAAACCACCCCCGACCCTTTTCCGACACTGTAATTCACAAATTTTAAGGACATAAAATGGTGGAGGTAGCATCAAAAAATTTCGGTGCCCAACCAACCCCCCCCCCCAGAGGAAAATTCTAGGTGCGCTACTGCCAAGACCATCGATATCACAGCTAAAAAATCATTTAGTTATCATTATTCCATCAAACATAGTTCCTACAAATATCACATACTTAAATAAAATCTTTTTTATTTAGTGCCTACCACAAAACTTTTACCTTATCAGATACTTTCTTAAGGTCAACGAATACTATATAAACCTATAATTCTTTATTTCACATATTCCATGATCTTGCAATTAAAATTGCATCCGGTGTTGATCTGCGTATAAATGCAAACCTTATTTTTATTTCTCTATGATACAAACTGATTTTTGGATACGTTTGTTTCGTTATAGATCTTTTTATAGATGATTGTTCTGTCCAAAATTTTCGTAAAAATTTCCTGTTAAATAAAGTAGTTATAATACCTTAGGAAAAAGTCAACCGAACAAAAAAAAGAAGATGACCAATGTCAAACAAACATAATTTGACATATGACAAAACAGAAGCCAGCCGCTCAGGCAAGGCGTTTAATTAACGGTTGACTTTCGCGGTAATAATAAGCTCTGTTAAATTAAAATGCCTCCCAGAAAACGGGAACGAGAACCAGACCCACTAAAAACCCCTCGAATTGATCATATACAGGCTGATCATGAATTATTCTTACAGGCTTTTGAAAGTAAGTTTTTAACTGATAAAGAAAAGGGAGTCATTTAAATGATAATGTATATTTTTACTTGCAGAGCCTACACAAATATACAGATATTTGAGGACAAGGAATTTGTGTCTGGTATGTATCTATCGACCTAGTATAAAATGCAAACTAGTATAAGATTTTTTCAAGAATTGTTTGTGGCACCTTAGATTTTAATATCTAGCAATACTGCACTAAAATCAAAACACTAAATCATTTATCCATATTATTTTCAATAGTTTACAGACACATAAATCCAAAGAGATTAGTAGCAATTATGCCTCTTAAGTCTAGTAGAATTTGACTATAAGTACTAAATGATTGTTTAAAATTAGCCTTCCAATTTTGAGAGAATAGCTGCTTAGAAATAAAATGTACATATCCGGAAGGCAATATGAGTATTCAGGCTACCAAATTGTTTCTCTAATGTAATTTAATTAGATACCTACATCTATTATATATTCATAATATATTAATTCAGAAATTTTCTCATATATTATGTTCAATGATTACATTATAAAAAATAAAGGCCTAAGTTAACCTAGTTAATTTTAATTCAAATGTTTTATTACATATTGTAGTATCTAAAATTCTTTTATAAAATCTCTTTTATAAAATATGTAGAATAAAATATGGGGATCTGGATGATCATACCACCTAAATAATAGAGGAATGTTACTAAGCTTTTCTTTTTTGCTAGTGCTACTGTCACAGAAATAGAAATTCACATAGTATTTTTACAAACTTATAGACACCAAGCTGAAAAAAAAAAGAAATTGATTAAAAGGAAACTTGATTGGGTGAAATTCAATAGAAAACTATGAGTTATAGAAGGAAACTTGCTATCAACAATATTATTTAGTTATTTAGAAATAAGTCACATTATTTTGCCATGAGAGCAAAATAACACTGAAGTATTCAAAACATTTTACCATGTATAAATGACATACTATTAATGGTAGATATATTTAGAGTGAAAATTGCTTAAATTGGTAAAGCAAAGATCAAATGTTAAGAATAAAAACATAGGCTGTTAATTTTATTTATTCCATGAGCTGGGCGAAGGATATGTGGGTCAAATTAGAAAAAACAAACAATAATATAATTATTTTAACACATTAAGAATCCTTTCAGGTTTAACTGTGCAAACAACTTGTATATGGTGTACAGACATTATCATTATTGATATTTATATAACAGAAAGAAAACTTTATTTATAAAAAAAAATAACAAAATATAAACAAATGTAAAAATGTCAGTGTGAGGATGTTAGAAAATGGTTCTCATAAATTAGATCTTGATTCAACTACTATCGTTAATTGTTGCTACTCTTCTCTCCTCGTTATCACCATAAGACTTGATTTGTCTGCATTAAGGGTAAGTTTATAATGATCTAACCATCCCTTCACCATCTGTAAGTCAAACTCAACATAATTTTTGCCATGGTGTGTTTAGTATACTCCAAATTTTTTTGGATCATTTTCAGCTGCTGTTATGTCCATTTGATAAAATTCTCTGTTCAATGTTTTCTGTGAGTGTCTTCTGAGATGTTTTATAAAGTTGAAGTAAATAGTTACTATTGGAGTACATCTTAGACCTTTTGTAGTGATAGTTTCTTTCTTGTACTAATCTTAGTATGTCACCATTAAACCAAGGGACACTATTTTTTCGAAAACGATTTTTTAGTTTAACTTGTACAAGGTTTCTTTGGAAGGTTCTAATTAATTCATCACTTAAAATGTTGGGGTCATCCCAGATTTTGTCCAGTAATTGAAGTAACTCCACTTAATTCTGTCTTTATTTGGCCTATTAAACATGCAATAATTTTCAGGTTGATTGGACTGAGTTTGACTGCACAAGATTTGAATTCAGTGATCACTGACACATAAGTCAATAAGTGATTTTGTATTACTTATGGCTCTAGTAGTTATACTTTGATTTACAGAGAAAAAAGCGTTAACATTTAGAAGCACTTTAAGATTATTGTTTGGTTAGGTACTTGATACATAGTCCACATTAATATCAGCCATAATCCAACATTTCTTGTTCAGCTCATTCAGCATGTCAAGTTTGTTTTCTAGAATAGAATAAAATCACATGGTCTCTATATTGCACCAATAATGATATTGACTTTTTCAACATAAAGAAATAACATTGAACATATATCATCATATCAAGTAATTTCACTAACTATGTAGAGATCTTTTACTAAAATACCAACACCACCGCCTCGCTTTTTTCTGCTTACATAAAATGACTGATTACTCTTTCCAGAAGCAAGTTTTACACTGTTTTCAGTACCATAACCTCGCTTTGTTTACAATTTGAACATCCGATAATATTATTGGTTATTTGACATGCCCTTTCAGCACCTTTTTTTTGCAAATACTGCATAACATAGCTTTTAATATAGATTATTGCAATCATCACACATTAACGTTGTATTGCACCTGTTTAACCTCCAAAGTCTTCTGTGAGAAGAAGTGAAACTCTTTTGAAACAATGTGTCTCTAACCATTTAGACTTACTTTATAAAATTCTTACCTCTAAAGCATTGAAAATCTTGTCGAAGTTGTGATACCTGTTGTCATCTTCGTCGTCTAATACACACAGGTTGTCTGTATAAAGAACCATATCAATAATGTCCTGGTCAATGAATTTACTTTTTGAGTCATCAGGTGCTAAGCACTCATATCTCTTCTTGGTTAATTTTTTCGCATCCAGGCAAATTTTTAATGAAAGGTTCAATTTCTTTTCAGGATCAGCTATTAAAATCACGTCAAAAAGTTTGTTCCGGCATTTTTCCAATGTTGAAGATTTCATCTTGGTCCATGACTCAACACATCAATAAACATCTTTCATTTTTAAAAACTTAAGAATTTTGGGAATGCTTTTGGATTCATTTGTCTCCTGTAATAACAGATGCCTTAAAAATGCTCCTCTAATATCTCTTGAATATCTATTATTCCCTGGTCTAATGGCTGAATTAAGCTCTTGGGATTTTGTGGCAAAAATCTGACAATTATTTTGTAGATTTTGAGGGTGGGTTGGCGCACTATCAAGCAACAATGCTTTGAAGGGAAGATTTTCTTATTTTAAAAAGGATTTTACACTTAAGACACATTTATTTTAAAACCATTTTGAAAACAAAGTGGTCAACATCCATGAGCTTTTTTGGCTTCTATAAAAAAAAAACTAAGTTCTTTTTCTAAAACAACTTTTAGACCTCTTAGTTTATTTGATTTTTCAACACACATAGGCCTCAATTGGTGAGTTCCTGATACATTGCTACAAAACAGAACCATTATTCGTTGCTTATGCATTTTTAGACTGTGTTCATGTTTTAATGCAAGTGATTTTTTCAGTCTCATTTGCGTTGTAAATTTGATCTTCAGTGTAGTTTGCCAATAACTCATCCATTTCAGTTTTAAAAATATTTACAGCATCATGGACAGGTTTTCTTCCCATAAATTAACTTGACGAATGGCATACTTATTTTTCCATTTGTCTAGCCAACTTGAACTTGCTTTAAATCCTTTACCTATCACCCATCATTTGGGATAATATTTTTTCCTTCTCTTGAATTATTGGTACAGATAATGCTACTCATTTTGCTCTTGTTGTGTGAACCACAAATAGATAGCTTCATTTATATTCTCATTTTGACTTTGTTATGGTTTTCTTGTTTGGCATTTTCAAAGTATGTTCCTCAAATTTGCTTTTCATTTTAACCCATTCGGAAACTGTAGAACGCCATCGCCAAAATCTGCTGCGATTGTCCGTAAAATCCTTTTAAATTTACATTTACACAAAAGGCACACATTAATGAAATTAAAGTAACACACACACACACAAACAAGTACTGCACCAAAGAATAGACTGAGAAATGAGATACAGCCATCTACACACTAAATGTTTCCTAACAGTGAGTCATATTTAACCGAATTACATAATTTACAACAACATTTAATAATTCTAATTAATTTTTTTACACTTTGCTCAGACTATCAGTAATTTGTTTACTTGTCAACTAAAATTAAATTAGATACTTGTACTTCATCATCATCTTTGGCTCGACAATCCTCTGTGGATCTTGGCCTGCTCTAAGATTCGTCGCCATTCTGTTCGGTTTCTGGCAACATGTTGCCATCTTCTGATTTTTAATATCCGTAAGTCGGTTTCAACTCCATCTAACCACCTAATTCGCGGTCGGCCTTTGCTTCTTCTTCCTACAGGTGTTTCTGTGGTTAGCTTTTTAGCAATCATATTTTCTGGCATTCCTATTATGTGTCCAGCCCATCTAAGTCGCTGTGTTTTAATGAACGTTATGACATCTGGCTCATCAAAGAGCTGATACAATTCAAAATTGTATCTTCTGCGCCACTGCCCTTGGTCGTTTATAGCTCCAAATACTTGTACTTACCTGACAATCATTATTATAATATTCAAAGTGAACTCCATTTGCGCGAACACATGCATTGATATGATGAATCCAATTGTTAGCAATGCCATAGTTAACTAAATTGTATCGGCTAGTTTCTGCAGCATCAAAAACTGGTTTCCGTAATTTAGCTTATAATATTCATGCTTTATGTTAAAATCATAAAATAGTGATTTTAGATATCCCAAAAATAAAAATCCAGTACATTGCATTTGTGACACCGTGGTGGCCACAGAATGTGTTCATTTCTACCAATCCAGCGACAAGTATAAGTGATACCAAGAAGATTTTTAACAGCTCAGGTAAAATGTACTGGAACTCCGTCGTGAAGAAACCACATTTCACGGCGTGTTTGCAAAGACACGTCTTCAAGAAGTACCGGCAAAACATTTTGCAAGAAACTATAGTAGGCCTCTGCATTTAGTGTTCTGGGTAATTCATATGGACCTATATTTTAATTAGGGGTTCTCATCACCCCAAATGCAATTATGAAAATTGCACAGTTTCTGATGAAACATGCTTCATTCGTACATAATACTTTAGATGGAAATTTAGGTTCTCTGATGAGTTTATTTTGAAACCACCTTCAAAATGTAGATGGTGGTTCTCTGAGGAGTTTATTTTGAAACCACCTACAAAATGTTAATCTTCGAAGAAGATCTCCTTGGTGTAAATCTTCTACATTCTGATAGTGGTATAGATGTAGAAGTTGTTACCGAAATGTTCTATGAACAACATTTTTCGACATTCTTATCATTTTAGCCACTGTTTGTGTACTTATATTTGGATTAATTTTCACAGCATCTAACATGTCATCTTCTACATTTAATCGATGGATTCTTCTTGTTCTTCTGCTATTTTTTTCGATACAACAGAACCCGTTTCTAATATCTATATAATAATCTTTGAGAAATATTTCACAAAAGTTAGAATATTAGAAGTTCGCCTTTCGGGATACCAATGCACATAAATTTTAACAGCTAAATTACTGTTACACGAAAATATCCGTTTACTAAAGATATGACTCTCTATGTTTAGACTTTCATATTGCACGTAGTTGACAGATTTCTTTTTGCATATCAAAATGTATTTTTGTTTTTTTTTTGGTCAAACGGCTGAATTAAAAAAAAAAATGTTATAAAACTTTTTTTGTTCTACATGCTGCCTGCTACCTATACCTTTAAGGAACGCATTATTTTCGGGGACACCCTGTATAATACATATATAATGAATCAGCAAGAAGTCAGTAGACTTTGACTATCTGCGATAACGAATTAGGTAAACAGCAAATACAAGCTCACTGGAAGTTATTTGATGATATTAGGAATAATCTTTTATTCAGTCAATACTTTTTTTTGAGGGTGGAAATTTCTAAAAATCGTACCAGGTTAACCCATCTCTAGGGATGGCTGGGGTGTGTTGGATTCAGAGTAGAGGAGTACATCTGAGCCCATTTTTCTCTAGAAGGAGGTTCTGCAAACGGTTGTCTAACTGTTATTCTGCCCACCAACTAAAACCACCCTTTCCGAGTTGTGTGCAGTTGACTGTCACATGTTCCGTACGCCGTACAGTAGTACTATAGTACTAAAAGTGGTATGTAAAGCTGACAACATTTTTAGGCTTACAAAGCCATCTTCAGAGCTATGGTCAAGTATTTAAAGTATCCCTACTATGAGATATCTCACTTTCTTGCTGGTTCTATTACAAATTTTCTGTTGAAAAAAAAAACACAAAAAAGACTGTAAACTGGACTCCACAAAAGCACATTAAGAAATTTGGTTATGGTACTGGTGTTAGAACCCATTTGTTGGAATTGAAGGATACCAATATTTTCATTTATTTTATATTTTCCCAATAAAAATAGTGAATATCTATTTTTAATTTTTCGATGTTAAATGGGTAATCACTTTTTAAAAAGGAAAGTTTCCCAATTCTTCAAGAATATCAAAAATTTAGAAATTAGATGTATTAAGGTTGCCGCGGAAAAAATCCGATTATTTGGAGAGCAGCAAACCGAAAAAGATTGTGAGTAATTCAAACTTATTTTTGGTTATTTTGATACATTTGTAACTTATACTAGTTTGCTTATACGTTATAAAAATAGCTTATTGAAATATTGAATTTATTTTTTTTTTCTAATATTTTCAGCCCATTTTCCTCAACAGAACTTTAACATACATGAAAGATAGGATGTCAAGAACTCACAAAGGAAGACGGGGTTTTAAAGTAGATACTTTATTGGACAAGGTGATCGCTAAAAAAGACTCTATGACAATTCAGCCTGGTTACATAAACCTAACATTTCTAGGTTTTAACAATAAATCTTTGGATTATGAGGCTCAGTTAGCTCAAGTCGAAACAGTGCTATTAAAAATTAGTCACAAGAAACGTAAAGATAGTTCTTCCCCTAGTATGCAGGTGGTGTTGGGAACAGCTGATGTGCCCATTAATCCAGATGATCAACATCTACCTCTTACTTCACCAACAATCAGTATCCCTACTGAATCATTTAATCCATCCAGTGGACCTTTGGTAAAGTCATTTATTTTGTTGTTTAGAGTTAAAGTAGTGCCAGATAAAGAGGTGGAGGATGAACCGGCTTCAAAGAAAAGAAAATCTAATGGAATCACAGATAATTCCAAACTGTATGGCGCAGAACTTACTATTTATGATAAGCATAATAGGTGTTACTTAAGCGATGGAGATTATGACATTGTTGTACATGATGTGTCTCCAAATTCTAAAAATTCTATGAAGAAACATTCCAGTTGGGAAAATCTACAAGATCTAGCAGAAGCATGTGACAATCTGGAAGCTTTTATGAATGGTGCAGTGCTTAAATTTAAACTTAACTGGTCTCCTAAAGCATATGATAAATATGTAGATAGACCACAGGCTTATCCCCTGATTGATAATAAGGAAAACATACCTCTTGCTGTAAATGGCAGTACTGACGAAAAATTGCAAATTGTATACCAATTTGTTTATAACAATAATTCCCGTCAGCAGACTGAAGCATGTGAAGACTTACATTGTCCTTGGTGCAGTTTAAACTGCAACCAATTGTATACTCTACTTAAACATTTAAAACTTTGCCATTCAAGATTTACATTCACTTACGTTCCAATACCTGTAGGAGCTAGAATCGATGTAGCTATAAACGAAATGTATGATGGTTCCTATACAGGCTCTCCACATGACTTAATATCACAACCAACAGTTTGTGCTTTCTCGAGAAATGGCCCAGTTCGTCGTGCTTCAGTAACACATATCTTAGTATGTCATCCAAAAAGGTTAAAACCAAGTCTCTCTGAATTTTTAGAATTGGATGATTGTGAATTTGATGGACAGCGGCCTTTCATTACAGGACATAATAGATTGTACCACCATACAACTACCTGCCTACCTATTTACCCTAAAGAAATGGATGTCGATTCAGAAGGAGAAAACGATCCTGAATGGTTACAAAATAAGACCAGAATGATGATTGATGAATTCACAGATGTGAATGAAGGAGAAAAAGAACTGATGAAGATGTGGAACTTACATGTAATGAAATATGGATTTGTAGGTGACTGTCAAATCCCGTTAGCTTGCCAAATGTTTGTTCAACATAAAGGTAAAGAACTGCTTTTAAAAAATTTGTATCGCAATTTCGTTGTACATATGACAAGCCTCTTTGATTTTGGACTCGTAAGTGCGGTTTGTATGTACACTACTCTTCAAAAACTGCAAGAACTTGTAGGTGATACTGGTCCAATACGTAATATTCTCAAGCAATCCAGAGAAGCCCAATTGGATAATTGGTCAAGAACTGGAAATGTTGTTGAAAAATCTAGCTCTTTGAAAACTCCGACTGCCGGAAGAAAGGCTGGCAATGTAGGCGTTCAAAGAAGAAAGGGCGCACCTACTCCCCAATGTGATACTATCACAAGAAGAAAATCAGTTTGTGGAGAGACATCACGAAAGAGACTAAATCTGACTGTAAATAAAGGTGACCAAAAATCTAGTTAATAAGAGTAAGTTTATATAGTTAGTTTGACAGACAATATAAAGTCTTTTACATCTACCAAAAATATGCACATTTTTATTCATCTAGAAATTTATATATTTTTTTGTTTTCTGTAAATTTTACTGTTTTTGCTACTACTGATGAAATGTTCCGTTATTAGTTTTACAATATTGATAAGTTGATATTATTAGGTTTGTCCAAACACGCAATTTTCTTACGGTCGAGAATGACGATCGATTACACAAAACTGTCTCTTGACATTCTTTCATTAAAAATGTTTCCCTTGGATCTCTCAGAAGAGATTCTCTTCAGGTGTCCAACCTTAGCACGTCTTGTATAACCTAATTTTAGTTTCTCTGAACAGCGATGCCGATTTTAATAGTTTTATATTAGCAAAGTACATCATGTTTCTCTCGATTATTCTTTTTGAGATCTGGCTCATTTTATTGTATGAATCAATTTGTGATTCTTGAATGTGAAACTCGAATAAGAGTTTCAGTTCGATATACAAAGTCGCCGGAACACTCCATTTAATTAAGAGCAGTTCACTAGCAGTTTAACATATGTTTATCAGTTCTCTTGATTTATCGATCGTTTATGGATAATTTAGTATATGATTCTGATAATAAAAATTTAATTTTTCATAATTCTTCCATCTTTATCTGTACATCTCTTAAAATGAATGTCACAGGAATCCTATTGCCGTTTTATGCTGTTTCTCTATATGTCCTTATTTTGTACTGCAGTGACAGAGTTTGTATTTAATCATGTTTCAATAGTATCAGTCCATCAAGTTATTGGTTGCCCTCTACTTTTTTCTTTCAATTTTCTTTGGTCCACTAGTCATACTCAAATGGAGGTCCAAACCTTATTGATGACTCTCAAAATACTACAGAGTCCGCAAATTTTTTGTTATTTGGTACTGTACCTTGTAGGGGATCTGCCTCTGGCTCTTTTACCTTCCACATCACATTGTATTGTGAGATTCTTAAGACCATTTTTTCGGAAGTTATGCCCAAAATAGCGAGTATTTGCTCTTTTTTATTAAACAATTTCTTGTCTAGTTTGTACAGCATCTACTCCATAGGAACTACATTATCTAAAATACATCCACACATACATTATCTAAAATAATTATCTACAGTTCTAATACCACACAAAAATTTGGTACACAAAACTGCATTACCTACCTTACTTTTCATTATAATTTAACTACCTTCAAAGTTTTATGTTGATGATGGCTAGGTAGTGTTCGATCATAATTGGTCATTGACTAAACGAAAAATATGCAGAGCTGAAGACAACAAGAAATGGCTTTAGAGGATATTCTGTAGAATGACAGAAGTATATAGCGACTGAAAACAGAAGTCCTAACATAGAACACGAATAGAGGCACTCTGATACAAACGTGATAACAAAGTTTGATCTAATGGTAAAATACCTAAATAAACTAGGAGACCACGTACCCTGGGTACCGGGACACAAAGGTCATAAGGGCAGTAAAAAAATAAATGGTCAAACAAGGCTCATCACTGCTATTCGTTGAACTGGAACCCTCCTGCGCAGTTACAAAGGCAATAACACGGACGGCTACAAGAAAGTGGATAGCTCACCAATCTTTGGAATGGTCGAGAAATTCGTCAGGATAAAGACTGACGAAACAATTCATTCTAGAACATTCGCCAAAATTGACGATAGACCTAATAAAAAGCCAGGAAAACAGTCAAAGCTATGGTAGGTCCGCTAACAGGTCACTGTAAGCTGAATATGATGACATGCAGATTCTGTCACCTAGAAGGTACGGTTCTTTGCATTCGGCGAAGAAAAGCCACCAGCAAAGAGCTACATGGAAGGTTGTCCGAAGTTATTAGACCTTTTAAAAAGGGTCAGGCTAGAGGACAATAGATTTTAAAATATCAATTTAATGGTAAATTGTACGTGTAAGAGATGAGGTTAGCCGTAGCAGATTTAATAAATTATTTAGGAAGTTTTTTTATTTATTTATAAACGATATTAAAAAATAGAATAGCTCGCCTAAAGCTTCATCTAACAAAAACCACCAAAAGTTGATATCTTCTAAGTCGAGCGACACGTCTTGGTTAATTAGCAGCCTTATATGAACTTCTATATTCGTTGGTGTTACGTGGATTAGGTTTTGTCTTATGCCATGCGTGTCATACGTATGCCATGAATGTTTCAAAATTTTGTAGTAAAAACAGTAGTTTTTAAGTAGTTACAAATGAATATTTAGATCAATTAAACCTAACTTCCTGAGTGCTCAATTTTTGGAAGATGTGTTGTATAGTATTCGGCTACAGAGTATCTAAAAATGGTTTTCCATTTTATGTTTACTACTGACATTTACTGCCTATATAACACTGCCAAAGTAGATAAATCAAACATGTATTTATTTATATCATCTCATCACGTATCGTGTTTGGAACGAAACTTATGTCATGTCTCTATCTACTTTATTTATTACAGCTACATACAACGTGGTCAATTTATATAATATAGTGTAAAAGGGTTAAATGCTTTCACTTCCTTGGGCCTATGGCCATACTTCCCAGTTTTTTATCCCCATTTTGTAGATCTCACTACAAGTTTTTTTCTTGGTTATCTTATTCTCTTTTCCCTGCACCTTCCAACAAGCAGTGCTTGGCCCATCTGCTACATGAACCAGCTCAATCATAGAGATCCAAAGATCTGGAAATTTTATTTCCTTAAATATCTCAAATTTTTGCATTTATTGGTCTTCTATCCTCACTTCTCAAGGTTTTTGTTAATAAAGTACAGCACCACAGAAGGCCCTTCAGGTGCCCCATTTCGCAGCGCCTCTAAGGTCAAAAAACAAGTAAAGTCTCCCCAATATTTGTGATTAAGGAGGGGTGGCAGTAGTTTGGAGTCAAGAGAGATACCGTGTGCACGGGGCAAGACCTCTTTGATCTTCAGACATGAGAACTCCTTACTCCAGAAATCTCATGTTTCCTAGAGCTGAAATTTACTTTGTTGTGTGTGTGTTCTAGATACTCAACGGGTTGTTTGTTCATAAGCGAGATTTCGCTATCATAAAAGACCTAGGTTGGATCTCTGTTTGATACATTTTTTTTATAGAATTGTGCCACCCTAGAAAAATTTCCAGATAATAGTTTGAGCACAGTACTGTTATCCTTACTATCGCAATGATCTTCATAATTTCATCACTTTTATCGGTTAGTGTAACTCAGCGTGCTGTAACTTTTGTACTTTTTCGAGCAATACGTATTAACCTTAACTTTGTGACAGTTTTTAGTTGTGTTCCCTTTTGGATTTTGTCCCACTTTTAATAGTACTTTGCTTTCTCCTCATTAATCGTATTGACTTGCTTCCCGGATAGTTTGAATATACTCAATAATTACTTCTTCGTTGTCGTTATTAATACTATATCGTCAACAAAGGCGAGCTTACTACCACAGCCTTTTATTCCTATAGTACACGTATGTACATAAATCTTTTTATGTAGATAAAAGACGTTAACATTAAAGTCTCCTAGAAGTGTTTCGAGGTTTTATCTCTCAAGAAAACTTGTGGTAACTCGAATTGAAACGAAATGCTGTTTATCTGTTTGACCGTTATAGTAACATAACCTGCCTGTGTACGCTAGCACTGACCTTTATATGAAGCGTGATTTCTGTTATCTTGAGGTCGAATTCCGGTATATCACGTTGTCTTTAGTGATCAATTAAAAAATTAATCATGCTACCTTCTACCCTTATTAAATTGTCGGTATTTCTGGTGCTATTCTGACTAATCTAATCATCGTTTCTCCAAGTGCTGAAGAATTGCTCCGTAATTCCAAGTGCTTTTATGGCTTGGTAAAGATGTCTTCTTATCATCCAATCGTAAGTTGGACTTTTATGAGTTGATCACGTGTATGATACGGTTCGATTTAAATAAGGCTCATTAAATGACATGTTACGAAAAATTAAATATTTTTGTAAAAAGATAAAAGTCATCCAATATCATGTAAATATTTTTGTAGAAATGCTTCTAAGTAAGCCTTTTACATAACTTTTACTTCAGAATAAACTAAGTGTTAATTTAAATAGAATATCAAAACTAAATGTATATCAGATGTAAAATATTGTTACGATATTACTTTATTTTGCATATATATCAGTACTTTTGTAGTTGAAATAATATAAGATTTCCATCACGTAATTATTCCCTCAGTAATTAAAGACAGGAACTTATTAAGTATCTGTAATTGTCAGTTTTACATTAATGAATGTTTCATGAAAATGTTTCCACTGTCTTAAAATTGTTTAAAATTTTAAACAAGGAAACGCTAATATCTTGCATTAATTCAACTATAAAACACTCCTTAACAATATCAATGTCTATTAAAACGTTAGATTTACTAGTTTGAAGCTAAATCTGCTTCGTAAAAGAAATTCTGTTAATCTGAAAACAAACTGAATGCGATTTTATTCCGCTTGATGCTGTATACTTTTGCAGTTAACGCTGTCTCAAACCTTACATCAGATTTTAGTTCTTACAAATCATCGTACAACTGCCCCTTTGGTCCTAGAGGGTTAAAGACACTTCTATTACCAATTAAATGGCATGTCGTCTTTATGAACGCCCTTATACCAAACATTGTGATTCGTTTTAGCGGAATAGGTGAGTAAGCATTATCACACCCATGTTGAATTGGAAGAATAGCAAAATTCGAGCGTTAGTTGTTGTTTCATTCGTAGACAGGCGTTGATTGATACAAAAACTGGAGCACAATAATAATTGTTCCTCTCAGCAAGTAGGACAATTTTATAACTCTTTCACATGGGTCGAACGGCCATAATAGCAATATTCAAGCCTTGTTTCCCTATGATCAATGTTTTGTAGACATATGATGAGTACTAGAATTGCGAGAGTAGCAAGGTTCCAACCTTAGTTGCGATGAGTTCTGGAACCTACAAACCTGAAACACAATTGTCTTTCTGACGGACAGGTATTATTCTATTCTGGAGATTCCACCTGTATGTGACAACTAGAAAGAAATAATTGTATGAGATCAGTGAATGAATGGCCAACATCTATGCAGCGAGCCAAAAGCTAAAAGGAAGATTTGATGGACATATAGCAAAATTAAACTAATGCAAAACGAATGAATGAAGCTGTGAGTGTTGCGATAATCGTTCCTCATAATTATTCATTGAGTGAACTGAGATGTTCATCCGTGAATACATTTCTGACATTGAAAAAAGCTGTCGCACACCCATTTAATTCAAGAATGGTAGTATTTGTCGTAAATTCATTTGATAACAGAAATTATCTAGTGTCTGAAAAATCATTCAATGAATTACTGTCTTTAGTGACACCTATACTACAAAACACTATAATGCGACAAGCTGTTTCTCCTCATGAACAACTATAACCAGATACTTCGCCGAAGGTAAAGCTCAAAGAAGTTTACAGTATTGTAGTTAAATATCTTGGCAAACTTTGGAAAGGATTATTAGAGAGATGCAAAGCTATTTACAGTGCATTAAAAACACGGTTTTATATTATGAACCAAGTAAAAAATATAACAGACTTAACGAGCTAGGCTCGTCAGTATTTAAAACCGCGGTATTGCAATAATACACTGGCGAGCATTAGGGATGTTTTAAAACTTCATGAACCTTGGGAATACGTATGCTCGAAAAAAATTACTGAATTCAATATAAAGTATTAAAAATGACTTACGTAATCCCAACTATTTTACTATTGCAAAAAAGTTGCAATGCAGACAGATAAATGTTTTCAGTAATGTCTGATTTCCTAGTTTCGTTCGTAGATTGACGTCACTAAATGAGGGAGTCGAGTTCATGAAATTTTGTAAGAGCAATACGGACGAGCCAAACACTGCGGTTTTACTCGACTATCGATTATGGCTTTACCAATGAAAACGTATTTTGATTTTGCTTATTTGAGCTGGAGAAAGTTTAGATGTTTCATTTTATTGTATTTCTTTGTTCAGGATGTTGGCGACCCTCATGACAAGTCAGTTGATATGCTGTTGCCAAGTTTTTAGTGTTAATCTTACTGGATATCCTTTTCTGTGGTTTACGTGTAGAAACAGTTGAATCACTCTATTTCGTTTCAAAAGACACAATTCTTTTCGTATTTAGTACTAGAGAAATTGATCCGTAGTGTAGAGAGATGTCTACTTTAGTATCTTCATGAAGTTTTGCCTTCGCTGACAGATTTCCATTTTTTAAAAAGAAGCAACTAATAAATGATAAGTAGTAAACTTGCAGTAGGAAAGTACTTACAGTAGAAGCTCTTTGTTCGCGGGATATATGTTCCGTAGATATGCTGCCAATATAGAAACCGTGAATATGGATTAGATACTATTTTAATGGGAATAAGCCTCAATTGAAGGTTAAAATAAGTTTATTACAATAAATTGTATAAAGAAATAAAGAAAATAGCTTCAGAATAATATCGTGAATATGGAATGTTAATTCATATGAGATTTAATAACAGGTTGAGGTAATGGTGAAATGTTCTCCTGCTTGGCAGTTTTTAAAAACTAATTCAGATTAATATTCAGAAGTGCCATTAGCAATTTGCCTCTTAAAAATAAGACTTCGTTCCATAGATAGATCCATTTTCATAAAGAAATCACAAAGCTCATTTGCCATTCTTAAACCTTCACTAATATTTTTCTAATTAAATGTCACGTTTCCAGTGCTTGTTGAACCCTCTTCTTATGTAGGTTGTGAATTTAACATTTCCTCCATGTCGGTTTCAGTCAAATCTTGCCATTCAAGCAACTCTTGAATCTCCACTCCTATTCCACTCAAAATTTCGGCAATGTTTTCAGTTAAAGTATGAACTTGCACATATTCTTCCTCATTTTCCGCAGTCAGAGTAGGCCACAAATTTCTTCCAGCATTCCATAACATTAATATCAGGGTCACATCAGTATTATTTTGAAAGTTCGTCTAATGTAATAGAGCTTAAAGGCCTGAATTATTCCTTGGCCCATATGTTGAAACAAAGCCGTTGTATTGGGAGGTAAAAATGTCACTTTTATATTTGGTTGCATAGTTTAAAGTTCGCGAGAATGACCTGGTGCATTGTCCAAAATTAGAACTACTTTAAAATTTAAATTCTGTGATTTAAAATAAGTTTCAATTATTTCAATGTTATTTCAGAAACTGACGAAACACTGGCAGGTTGTCGTTGTTTTGATTTTTTAACGCACGAGAATTTAACGATCTATAAAGCATCAATGGTTTAATAACACAATATCCAGTTGCATTAGAACAATGCAGCAGTGTAACGATATCCTTTGCTGCCTTCTGTTTCGCTTTTAGAAATGAATGTTTTATTTGGCATTCCCTTTCAGAACAGTGCAGTTTCGTCCGCATGAAATACCTGCTTAGATGTATATCCTCCACCAGCTACCAGGTTTGCAATTTTTTCTGGATACCTTTCTGCTGCAGCAGTGTCTGCATATGTAGCTTTTCCAAATATTTTAATAATATGCAATGATTGCCGCAACTTAAATTTATTGGACCAATCTTCCGATGCTTGAAATCTTCCATCTGTACATTCACCACTATCATCAGATTCTTTAAGATGGGCGTTAAGACGGTTTGCCTTCTCCCGGACCATCAGACCACTCAGATGCACCATTTTTTAGTTTTAGTCTTTGATCCTTGAATGACAACGCCACTTCCATTTTTTCTATTGCTGGATCACGAACAATTTTCGCTCACAGATTTTTTTATTGGTGGTACAGTGGATTCGTCGACATTTAATGAACGTGATATGGATGCAAACGACTCTCCAAGGCGTAAACGATTAATCATTTTTATTTTCACTTTAATCGGTAACACTGATTTTTTTCGCATCGAAACTTGTTTTTCATTTTTTTCAGTCGACCTTATACATTAGGAAGACAGTGGAAAAGACGTGTTAATCGATCACCATTTTTGTAACGAATTAAAAAGTAAAAATAAAACACGCAGTGCGGCTCTCACCAAAGGACGGAACGTCCAATTCCCAATTGTGACAGAATGTAATACTTTATGTTTTGAGTAAAAAGTTTATTTTATCTGAACAAGCCAGAAATGCTTTTTTGAGGCTTCGTAAGTTTCTGACTGATCGCAAATTGGACTTCAACCTCCGATACAAGATGCTTAAGTGTTACGTGTGGCCTGTTCTCCTGTACGGAATGGAAGCATGGACGTTAAAGGCCAGTTCCAATAACAAACTTGAAGTGTTTGAAATGTGGTGCCTGCGTCGAATGCTCAGAATATCATGGACGGACAGGGTCAGAAATGAGGAAGTACTCAGAAGAGCGGGCTTACAGGATAGGGAACTTTTTAATTATGTAAAAAGTAAGAAGACTGCATACTTGGGGCACATAATACGAGGAGAACGATACACTTTCCAGCAACTGATACTTGAAGGGAAGATAGAGGGTAGGAGAGGTCTCGGACGTAAAAAAATGTCATGGCTGCGCAATATTCGACAATGAACAGGAATCCACAGCTATGAACTGCTTCGCAATACTGCTAAAAACAGAATTATTTAATCCAGAATATTTAACATCTCACCTGACAAGACGATGTACGGTGGACGCCTACGCAGAAATGCACGGCACCTTAAGAAGAAGAAGACATTCTAAAAAAACCGGTCGCGACGAAAGCGGCTTTTATATTATAAGGATGTACCGATTTGGTCCGCGAATAAAGAAATCTTAGGCCGCGAATATTGGAATTGCGAATTAATTAAGCACGGATAAGGAGCTTTTACTGTGATTACCTATATACAGATATCATCGGTTCACGGTTCATGATTAGATTGTTCAAAGTGTCTAATATTTACAGGAACATACTTCTTAGAATACATGTTTAGGCTGATAAATAGACGGGAAAGGAAGAGAGAAGCAATAACCTGCATTATCAAGCACAAAAAGACAATATTGTCTCTTTATAGCAGATTCTTGGTGTGTCTGTATAATTTTTAGTCGTGAGGGGTACATTCTTCAAGCATAGGATTTTCGAACAATTCATGTGCGCTTCTTGAGACCGTGTTTTCTACGC